CTCTGGAGATGTGTCTTCGATCCAAGCTGGCAAGATCTATAAGCCTGTGTTGGAACAGCAATAACAATGGTTCAGAAACGTGGAATGTGAAGTCAGTAGAACGAGGTATCCATGGAAGAGAAAGAGCCATGATTCGGAAGATGTGCGGTGTGAAACTGTCTCGTAGAAAGAATACAAGTGAGCTCATGGATAGATTGGGTCTATTGTAAAGGTTGGTCTAAATGAGGAGGATGCTCAAGACAGGAAGAAGTGGAAGATGGGAGTGTCATCATCGCGTAAGTCAGTAATCCTTCGCAAGAGTTGAAATGATGACGACGATGATTTTTTTAATTTTTTATATATCACTTTTATTCATCAAAAATATACTGTACACATTAAAATTCATATGAAATGGAGTGAAGAAAAGGAAACGAAAAACCCCAGACTTGTCCAATTAAAAGAACACTCTGGGTGATGATATTAGTTCATAGATAGGTCAGATTGTAATGTTTAATATTATGGTGTTTTTTAGTGTATTCATCACAAAACCATATATAAACTTGAAAATTTACTTTATTTTTCTTTTCAGAATTCCACGGTGACAGCTCCTAATATGGTTGTTGAAGCAAGAGGCTGCATTTCAAATTCGACCGATTGTACTCCATATAATGGATGTACCACTCATAATACGTACAAGTACTGTTTTAACTGCTGTACAACCAACTTTTGCAACACAGCTCACACGATTTCACCAATGGAATTGATAGGAATGCTGCTAACGATTTCCATGCATTTCATCAATTGGCCATATTAAAAATTTATCTCCAGCTAATACTTTATAAAACTCTTTCAATTGACTTTTTCGCTAAGCCCCGTCCCTTGTATAGGCCTACTGTCACTATAAGGTCTGGTACGAAACAATACGGAGCTTTCGATTTGTGCGACGGCGCGACGTTAGAACGGGATCACTCATACGCGACCGTCCTACGTTCTCTCTATACGTACATTTGGCCAAATTGCGTTCCAGAATCTACTCGACAAGGTGACCTTAACGTTCTCGCATGCACAGATGACTTTTAGTGACGTCATTACGTTCTACGTCTAACCGTCGTCGTGCAACCAGGGTGGGGGCAGTGTCCCAACAGGAAGGACGATTTTCCATCATACAAATCAGAGGGATACAGAAACTCCAATTTAGGAATTTTAAAGTAGTCGATTTTAGTCTCACATTTTGTAAAAATTACATAGAATTGTTTTTCCAGCTCTCCCCGATGAGGGTGGACAGCCACCCCATGTACTATCAGTTTAAAACACCAGTTGTCAAGTCTTCAGTTTTCCAAAAAATTGGGTTATACATTATCATAAACGAATTACAGCAGTAGACTAGTTTCTTATGTGATTTAACTGCATATAAACAAATCACTAAAATTTGAGTTTTGATTACAAAGTGTATATTTAACTTGTAGTTGGCTATCCATTATCACAAAAATGCTATGTATACACTCTATATTATGCAAACATCAACATTTAGGTTTTTGTTATACTGTAGTTAAGTATTTGTATTTAATGTAAATTAGTTATCTCTACAGTAATCATTTAAGTATACTATTACATTAAGGTTGGTTACATAAATTGTCTTTGAAGTATTGTATAGTAATTGTTATTTAGATTAAAACTACTACACACGCTTACCTCTCCCTCCTCCATTTCTTTCATATAATAAAACAAACCAGGGAATTAACTGTTCCCTCAACAAACATAAGTGAAACAAAAACCACTTAATTTCTGTATTTTTTATTTAAAAACATGTAATGAAAAAATGTAAATATCGCTTCCTAAAATGTAGTAGTATCTGTTCTTAGTGTTACTGACCACAGTGCAATGGCAGTACTGTACCAGTAATATCTGAGGTTATCTACCATTGTGCAATGTTAATAATACATAAGTATATTAAACAAATAGCTTCTAATTAAAACATAATTAATTAAATGTTTTTTACACCTTTGACAAATTCACAATGTCAATGAATAGAGTGCTTTTTGACCATGTGAACAATATATACATAAAAGAATAGAGGGGAACATACATTTTACACAGATACATCTTCACCAAAGATAAATAAATTGTTCATTTCTTTCAAAAAATTGATTCTATTACAATGCATGCAAATAATTATTCATTTCGTCACTTTTAGTTTCTAGAATTCTTGTACATAATTTCAAAATGAAAAACAAATACGTTAAATACAGCATAACACAGTAACAGCATGTCAATTCAAATCGTTGAGGCTGCACAATGCTTACAACTTCGATGTCATTTCTCGTGGATATATACTTACATGTCTGTTTTTTGGAGGATGGACCAGGTCTTACTGGCGCACACAACCTGAAACAAGAGATGCGTCAAGAAAGCAGAGGGTGCAATGCTATCATGACAACACCAAGAGCGACATGTCAGACCTCTATAGTTCCTAACATTTTGACATGTTTTCCTATTTTATTTGTATATTTATTGTACAAATAAATTCTGTTTGGAATTAATTAAAATTCTACCGCGTTTCCTAAAATTTCAAGACAAAAAAAGAATTGTTCCTGTTTAACCTGGAGGCAATCAACATATCTGTGAAATCAAAATCTATTGATGCAAACAGGCTAAAATTTATGAAGAAAAATACTGTCCTTTGTGAAATGACCATCATCAGCATTCATTATTTCTTAGCGAAAGAGATTTTCATTGCATTAGTTGGAGTGATCTTGAAGCCTTGTAATGAACCCTTTGCAAGTGATGATTGTGATTCTGTCTCAAACTCAACAAAAGCAATGTCGTGTCTTCCGGGAACTAAACGCACTTCCTTGTAGCCTTTGAATCTGGAAAGAAGCAAAATTGATTGTATTAATTAGAGACTAAAAAAATACAAGATTATAGAAGAGTATTTCCTTCACAATGATATTGGGACACAAAATGGGTTTAGTTATTGAGATGTATGAGAGAAGTTTAATAATAATAATAATAATAATAATAAACAACATTTATACAGCACAAGAGGCAGTGGTTCTCTTGGGGCATTATATTTTTTGTATTTATCAATTAATAAAAGCAAACTAATGAAAAATGAAAGAAAAAAAAAAGTTAAATATATCTTAACATGTTCGCTACAAGGGTCGCCAAGGATGCGAGTTCACATCTACACCTGTCTAAACATACCACTATTGTACTGCAAGTAAACTCGCAGGCAGAGGTCACCAGAACGTGATATCTTGCCCTGGAGGTTTAGGGAAGAACCCAGAAGTAATAATCTAAAAATAAATACTACTGTATAATAATACTACTACTATAATTTTTCTTCATGTTTCATTACTATTGATGGGAATGGTTTTCTATTATGGTGGCCCTTTGTGCATAAACTAGGAATAAAGCTTGGCATCAATGTGTTAATAATAAATGAACTAAAATTTTAAATAGTGTAATTACTGTGTAAAGAGCATGGATAACATCATCTCGTTGGTTTCTTCTGGCAGATTGGTGAGGAAGAGGATGTTGTTTGGCTGTTCCGGTGCAGGTTGAGATGGCATTGTAACCGATGGTGCTGTAACTAAAAAAGAACAATAATATTAAACACATAGCTCTTAAATAATACTTGTGAAATGAAATCATACCACTACCAAAAAATCAAAATAATAATTATTGTTACATTCTGTTTAAAGAAGTCTGTAAATGGGCTTCAATCTGGTGCTGGTTACTGGGTTCATATTGACAAAAATGCACAACAAATATACAAACTCCCCTGCTTCAATATGACTAATCCAAATATATAATAAAAAATAACAAGCTACAGACATTCAAACTTTTTGTGTTTACAAATTAAGTTCCAGAAGGATACCACATTAATAAATATATTCTACCTCATCACATCCTCAACAATCTTTAATTTCAATTTACCTGTTGGAGGCATCTGTCCCATCATAGGTGGCATACCAGGCATGGGTGGCATCCCAGGCATTGGTGGCATCCCAGGCATTGGTGGCATCATACCAGGCATAACAGGTGGAACACCAGCGCCTGTTGGTTTGTTTTTCTTGCCTAGAGAGTATAAACAACAAATCATATCACAATTACTAATAACATATTTTATAATTTTAAATGAGTGATCCAATGTTTTTTTATTCTTTTACACACACAGTTTATAAGTACAGTATATATTTTACCACCTATAGCTTAAATTTCTCAGGATTAGGGTAGGAGTGCACCCTCATTAATCAACATAACAATGATGTTGATACACACCACAAACTACCACAAAGTAGTTTGTGTGTGTGAAATTGCATGTATTGAAGAACTTGTGTATTCTTTACTACACAAAAAGTCTGTAACTACTTCGATTGTGTTAGTTTGTGGTTTGAGCAACGCTGTATAAACGAATAGGCATTCTACAAAAAAAATAATATTCACTGCTATACATAATGTTTAGCATAAAATGTGAAACAAGAACGAGAGCCAACCTTTGACTTCCTCTACAGGAGCCTTTCTCTTTTCAACGACTTTCTTTTCGCGTGGCACGTACGTTCCTTTCATCTTGGCGATAACATCTGAATCAGTCTTAGCATATTGAATCCTCTGAAAGGAAAATTACAGTAAGCATATACTTATGAATAAGTATAATGTGTGACAACACATACACACTATCAAACTACAGTGTTCTTCCCAGGCTCTTGAAGCATCACGGTACCATGATGCTTGGGACTTTCCCTATGGTGCTTGACAGTTGGCCATGATGCTTGGAACATCTTCCATGATGCTTTTATCAGGGAACAGTAAATTATTTAACTGTTCCCTGCTTTTATATAGACTTAAATTGCAATTTAGGACATTTAAATGCCTCCTAATTATTAAAAATACCTTGTGTCAGTCCCAACTTTGGTGGACTTAACACTTAGATCCTTTTAACATTTAGATCTTTTCATTATGTTCTATTTGTTGCTACAAAAGGAGTCGGAGCAAAGGCTTATGGCATATGTACCACATCTTTCTCTGTCATTTCTCTGTGAAACACTAAAAATTGTTAATGATTGAAATTAGCACTTCAAAATAATTTGATTAATATTATCCTAGAAATAATGGTTAACACAACAGTTAATTATAATTTAGGAATATTAATTTAATTGAAGATAAATGTTAATGCTTTTCTCTGTTCTTCTTCCTTGTAGCATTAATAGGATACTTCATGACAATTTTTCTTTTTGTTCATGTAAAGTGCATAAAGGCAACTGTACTGCATTATGCGCTACATAAGACTTACATTATTATTATTATTATTATTATTATTCTAAACAGAGACCATAGCTAATTGTTTACTAATGTATAACAGAATACTTATGATGACAATCACAAAGTAAACGACCTAATTTGGACCTTACATCATGATCTGAGAACATTATTATACACAGCAGTACAAAATACCACACCTTTTAGTCCCAGCCACGATGGGGATGAGGTCAGTAAATACTCTGGTCTGCATTAACTACCCCCTCCTGCCCTAACACCTAGAAACATTTATGAATGGATTCTCATATATGTGGCAAAGACAAGCCAAACCAGTCACTCGTCGCAAATCGTGTTTCAGAGAAAATGGCCAAAACATGCTGGAATGCCAAATTTTAAAAAATCTATTTTATTGCACTAAACTAACCTTTATATATCTACACATCATTCTATGCCGAGATTTTCCCCATTTTCAATGTTAAAACAATACTTTTCAAGGATTTAAAGATAGTTTCTGCATGAGAAATGCCTGAAATCATAAACTTTGATGGCTAATTTCTCATATATTGTTTTTTAAACAGCTGTGTGGTTAAACGCTTGTAACTTCATAAGGAAATGTCCGATTTGAATGATTTTTTTACCATTTTATAGCTCTTATTTCACTCTCTAACACTGTATTAATAACACAAAATCAGATTTTTGCGACGAGTGACTGGTTTGGCTTGTCTTTGCCACAAATACCGAATGCTGTTAGCGAATAACTTACCATTGGCTTGTCATAAAATGGGAATCCTTGCATCGAGCGCAGGGCATTTGTACCACTTGATATCTCTTTGAAAATCACAAATGCTTGGCCCCTCATCTTCAATGTTTTCATTGCTATTATGTCTAAAATCTGGCCAAATTGAGAGAATATGGCATACAGTGACTTCTTCAGTTCTGAAAGAATATGAAACAAAAAACATAACAGTAATTTATCAAGAAAATATAAATAACAACAAAGTTTATGATTACGTCTATATTATATTATAAAAAACAAGCATTTGATTTTTTTTTAAACACATCTAGATTAAAAATTGGATTAAATAAAATCTAATACACAAATAGTACAATACTCAGATCAGAAACAGTAAGGCTTATGCACAATAAAGATGATTAATAAATAATAATTACAGTTGAACTTGCCTAAGACAAATAAAAATTGACATTGAAAAATTGTTTGATTTGGATAAAAATCGACTTACAGATTGTTAATGGAGAACACAACAATTTGGCATTTAAAATAAGATCGACTTAGAAATTATTCAAGTTAGGCAAAGTTGACTATAGGCAAGTTTTAAGTGTACATTTCATTATTTTGGCCTCCCTGCACCCTGCAGGCATCACCACTGGAGCTCACCAACAATAAAATTTCAGACTAGTGATTGAAAATATATTTGGACAAGTGAATTTGAAAAGTCACTCGCCTGATCAGGCGAGTGTGAAAAAATGTTAATTTTGCACCCTGCAATATTTGATTACTATTTCTTTAGAGTGTTATAAAAGTCAGCTATCTACTAATTCAAACCATACTCTGGGCTTTGTCCAATGAAAGGCTGGTATGTAAAATTGGGCATACAATGGCAGATGGGCTTATATACTGTCCCCAACAAAGTGGGCTTTTATACTCGAGTAAACAGAGTATAGTCTTTGTATCATATTATTGATATTACCTTCCTTTTTAACCTTCTCATTCAGATTGTTGATATAAATTGTGTTGTTAGGTCTGATGTCCATAATGGCTGAAAATAAAAAAAAAGAAACAGTGTTTGGTAAAACTCAGGCATAACAAACATTCAATAAACGAGTGCATTTCTAACTTAAAATTCTTGCTGGTAACTGACAGGAAAAGCATAATTATTTGAAATGGAAGTGTCTCTATCTATATAATAATTATAAGACAATCAAAAGTAATCACACTTAATTACCTGATTTTCTGAATATTAAATAATGTGTGGCCTACAAGAGCTAAGCCTAGTTAGTAAGTAAGCCTAGCCTAGCAAATGGATTCATCTAGCTACCAGTACAAAGGTAGTAGTAGGCTAGGCCTCTAGAGTATTCTTCATTTCCCTGGCTGGGCCTTTCATTTGAACTGACTGGATCTAGGCCTAGATAAAGTAAATAGTAATACAGTAAATTCATATTATATTATCCTTATTATTATCTATGTATAGGCCTAGATGCAGTATGAGTAAATTGAGACATTTAGCTCAGAAGACCGACATGATGCCAGAGCTAGGCCTAGCCGGGAAAGCTCTTAGCCAACAACTTCTTGGCTCAACTACTGTACAGGGGGTAGGCCTAGGGCTGAAATGCCGCTGAGAAATTGACACAATTCAGATTTATGTTTAGAAAAATTAATGCCTATATCAAAAAAACCAATGTTAGTTAAATTCTATCTTTACCTTATTAATATATGATGAGTAATCAGAAAGAAGAAAACTACAGATTGCAATTGCTTAAAAACGAACGCAAAAAACACTACCGTCCACCGTTTGTAGCACACACGCGACGCCAAAGACGTTAATTGTGAAAGCGCGCCCTCTATTCGTTGAATTTATGAACGCATCTTGAATTATTTTAGATATGTTGCTTGATAATACTGTAACCGTGGAGTTTTAGATGACTTTCCCCTTGCCGGTTACTTGTTCCCAATAGTCTATGTGGCAGGATGTTTCACACAGTAAAACACAGAAACGAATGTCCGATCAAAGTATAGTTTAGTTTGTATAGTATTTAATCAAGGACTGTTCTATCTCTACTCCACAACAATTCTAACGATGTTCTCCTCTCTATCTCTTTGCTCTCTATTTTAAGGGAAGCTAGTCACCATGGTAACCACCAAGGTGGGGTGGTCATACTTGCACTAGGTTAATAGGCATTCTGATCCTCCTTGCTCTTGACTGGAATGTTAGTTGTTGACCATGATGCCGTCACTTGTCATATTAGTTTTGTGACTTGACATTGCTACGGAAGTTCAAGAGTGTATTTTATAAATAATTAAATTTAAAGTAGGCCTTACAATTCCTTAGCAAGGTTAAAATACTGTATAAGCAATTATCACAGGAGGCCTACATCATTTATTTTAGCGTTTTATTTGATCTAACATATAATTATGGTATGCACATTAATCTACTTAAAAATACAAATTACGCCTAAGCATTTATTTTCAAGTAGGCATAGGTCTGCTGTGAGAGTACTTCTTACAAAATGATAGTTTTATTTTAGATTTTACTCCTTATGTTTTTAATCTTTTCTTTTTTCTTATTATAAACCTCATTGGTTGTTATTGAGGCTTTTGCAAAATGCTCTATATTTGTGCGTTATATTAGGCCCCTATAATGCAGCCAGAAGGGGACAAGGGTCCTGGCCTCCTCATAATTTTAAAAAATCCCGATTACTGAGTAGTAAATGATCGGTGGTAATGTGAAAAAAATATATAATAAATGAAATTTAAGCCATGGCCACCCTCCTTTTATTATGATTACAGAGTATCTTGATTGACACTTACCTTAGACCCGGCGCACACGCCGTGTCATCTATCAGTATCTCGAAATCGTACAGTAATAATTACGGTAAATTTGAAATAAAAAACATTTTGTTACAATGGTAAAAATAGGCCTTCATCGGACTTCCATGACCATTTTTCTCTATCACATTGCGTTCAGGATGATTTGTTTTATTTTTTTTTTATACCTGGTGAAAACTGTCGATTCTATCTTTTACCACGTAAAATAACGCAATTTGGGACCCCGACCGGGGGCCCTTATCGTGGGCCCAGCCTATAGTCTCGCTGCACCGTAGGGCTTGACCCATCCCCAATCAAGTTACTCCCTCCCGCCCCCATTAAATTTTACCCTGACTGTGTCCCTCTGCTTGCCACAGGAAACTCACGGATAAATCATAGTTACGGGCCTGATATAAACTACATTTATTTATTTATTTATTTATTCGACCTATACACATTTAAAAAAGGTACAGTACAACAAAAATTATGGTCAGGGGCAGCTTAAGCAAAATTTTACTATAACTCATTGAGAATCAGCTGCCCCATACATACATACATACATACATACATACATACATACATACATACATACATACATACATACACCCATACATACATACATACATACATACATACATACATACATACATACATACATACATACATACATACATACATACATACATACATACATACATACATACATACATACATACATACATACATACATGTTTTTTTATTACATTTTGCTATCTTGTGAACTGGTTCTAATTCTGTTACTAGGCCCTATGCATATTTGTTATATTTGTATTTTTTTGTATTTAATTTGAAGCGTCTCACACCAGTGGATGTATAATAAAGGAATATTTTAACTGTATTTTAAAATTATTCATAACTTGAAATAAATCAAGTTAATAATATTTATATAGTTGATACTCATTTATTTACTTTTTTTTTATTAGGTGAAACTTTAAATAATTTATCCCAATCCCTGCAGCTGTATTAAAGCACATAGGTATTTTACATTACTGTATGCGCTAAACTGAGGCTGCATGATATGATTGAACGTTTACATCGTCTTCTCATTATTTTTACATTATTAAATGTATAAAATCGACGAATACAACATTGACAGACACTATATGTTTATTCTATGTCTATGCTCAACTAGGGGGAAAAACAAAACAAGCGAGTGAAACTAGAGTCTGCCCGGTAATTTTGGTTCAAACCGAATCCGATTCTAATTCAACCGTTAATGATCGTGAAATAAATTGGGTAAAATATTGGTGTTAGTCTGGCAACAATTTTAACCTTGTCTAGGCTCTAGTACACACAAAAAAGGGCTGAGATACGCTTCTGCTAAATATAAGGTAATGGATATAAATTGTCAAGTGTTTGCATAAATTGCATTATTTTGCACAATCTGTTAAGTTGTCCGTAATCATTGATATCTACAGTTGCATGCTGAGCTATAGCTAATGTTGCATTTTTCGTCAGAATCTACTTTTGAGGCAAAACTCTTGTTGCTCAATCATCAGAATTCGATTTGTTCTCGCACTGTCCAGTCGTCGTTGCTCTAATACACGACGAGATGCTGTATGCACTAATCTCAAGCAAAGATCGTACCGAGGTCTCGTTAAATTTCACCATAGAAATAATTTTCATTGATATTTTAACAGATTTGTACTTTTTTATGTCATAGGGTACTAATGTACCTACTAGATAACTTACAGTAGTTTACAATACATACACATAGACTGTAAACAGTTGTGTGCACCTAAGCAAGACAAGGTCGTTGTGTGAGAATGTATTCGTGGTTTCGGAATTCGTCTTCTGTCCTATTTTGTTTTGTTGCATATTGTTGTGTTGGTTGTAATTTATTGATGCATTCCGTATTGAGTTATAAATTTATTTTTAATTAAATTATCTCTTTTTTTATTAAACAATTTTTGCCAAGATAGGTGAAATAACTCACCATCAATGGTGGCTATGACACAAGAGAGGGAGTGATACAAGAGAGGGAGTGTTCTAACCTTTTGTCAACAACATCTACAATTGCTTTATATTTTATGTAGGCATGTCTAGAGTGGTTTATGAATAATAATATTTCATTTGTTTGGTAGATTATTGCTCTCACTGTAGTTGGCTTATATTGGTGAAGTTCTCCCCACTATACCCTCCCAATTTGTCTTGTTTATCTAGAAAACATCTGAGAAACTTGAAGCCACGCATACTGTAGTAATGAAGCCAGGAGCAGATGCTAACTGTACAACCCTCCTGATTTTGTTGTGGGACCTTCCAAAAGTGTTATGCAATATCCCCTTTTCAGAATTTTGACAAATTGTCCAAAAATTTAAAAAACAACTCTTAAAACCCCCAAAGGTCTTACTTTTGCATAATTTTGTATTTCTTTGTGTGTTGATCTTTATGTCAGTGTTCAAAGGCTATCTGGAAAAAAACACACATGATAGTTGCTCTATTCCAACATTTTGGGATTGGGGCACCCTTCACCAGCCTATCTCCCAAATTTTTAGTTTCGGGGGTTGGAATGTTTGCAGGATATGTGTGCCTCACTGTACGTGCTTGATTATTAGACAATCTTGTACAGAGAGAAAACTGACAGAAAATAAATCTTGTGATATATATATAAAAGTCATGTGTGATAACATATATTAAAATTCAAAATTATTTGGTTGAATTGTCCATTTAGTTGGTTGAATTTAGTCCATTGCAGCAACATTTAGGGAATGTAAATTGAATTTACTATTCCATTTCACATATGAATTTAAAATGTGAATGGACTTCTTCACTCAACCTTTATCTGTAATTTAATCTATCAAAACTCTCAAATTTCCAACAAAATAAAACAGAATTCCTGGTATGTTAATAGATGTTAATAATATGATATTAAAATAAACAAAAAATTTAAAAAGGACAAAGAGTTGAATAAATAGAAATGGTGAAATCAGCAAATGTAATAATAGTTATCATAATCTCAAGGTTTCAAGGTTATACAGCTAACTGTACAACAATGCATGAGTGCCTGGCAAAGGCTGGTGGACTTAGTTCAATGAACTTGGCTTTTGTGATACAGCAAACAGTAAGTTTGCTTACCCTCAGTCATGCTGCAGACATTTGGGCGATTGTGTATATTCTTTTATTATTTGAGAATGAACCATGTGACTTCCAAGAATAGTTGAACACTATAGAGTATTAATAATAGTAAAACAGAAATTTGATATTTCTGTACTCTAATACACCGTGGTGCTGGTATATAAAATTACAGTTTTATATTAATAAAACTGATTCCACAATTAGTAACCTTAAAAGGAAATTTTGAATGGAGCTGTGATTGTGATTATTGCAGGGTAGAGTACAGGGTATGCTGGTAAAACAGGTCTTCATTGCTACAGTATTTGTATGATGATTAGTGAGGGTGCACTTCATTCAACACAAACCAAAAGGACAGGAGGTTCACAGTCTATTTGTATAGTATTGACCTTCTCTTCTCCTGGTTAGTAACTACCTCAAATTCAGATGAAAGCCTTTATCTGCATTGATTAATTTTTACCCTCTACCTGTAGACATAGGTTATAATGGCTATTATGCAGTACTGTACAGGTTTACCAAAGGTACTAGAAACACAAGATGGAACTCTCCACAGAAATAAACTTTATCACCAAAATGCATGGTGCGTATACTAATGCAAAAAGTTATCCCCAGTCGTACAGTACGCGGCGCCTCATTAAATGAGGCCGGAAAGGAGACGGGTACCGGGAAGTCTTGTGATGTGTAGAAGTGAAGATGTATTTCTGCTTCACTTTTGCTATGCAAGAATTCTACTATCATGTGTTTTTAGTATCTTATGTTTTACCAAACCATTAAATTACTCTCTGATTACTAACTGCAAACGAAAAATAGCGGTTCAATGTTCATTCTTTGGTACACGCACTCAAATGTTGACGAGTGTATTGAATTCGACCTACAGTATTAGACCATGCACAAAATGTGTGATGACGGTTTCATTTGGCACAATACCGCCACTTAACTTTTCATTCTGGTTATTTTTCCTGTGCATGATTCGCTTCTAAAGTTACCATGTGGCTTAGGTGATTTCACCTGCCAGAATAAGAATGCTTTGCAGACAGATTACATTACTCTAGTAGGTTCTTTTTGGTACAGTTCATATTTTAGTTTTATCAAAATAATTCATGTAGTCAGGACTCTAGTTTCATTGGATTTAGTATGCAAGATCAATTTAATCAATCCATCCTGTAGTTGACCTCTTTAGAGTGTCAATCAATCAGCTGACCAATCACAACGTGTCATTCAAGTACACGGACAGGAGAAATGCACGCATGTCCCATAATCGCCAAAGTTATATTTTATTCAATAATATTTCACAAGGGTGCTAGTAGTTTACAGATGTGTGTTAAGTTGGGAAATTAGCTACAATATCTAAAGGGTGGGAAAATAGTTCATTGCTGAGTGTTGCGTTTATGAAGTTTTAATAATGTATAAAATATAAGTAATTAAGTGCTGATTAGGTGAGTAGGCCACCAGAAGTCGAGGAGAAAATATAATGTTTACACCAAGCCTACAGTACAGTAGTTAAAAATTTATTACAAACAAACAGATAATGATACAGCTTTTCAGTGGATGTGGATGTGTCATTCAGCTTTGTTGAGAAGCATAAAGATGATTTTCTTTTGTTTTTTTCAGTGTGAAACTAGAGGATGAGATGCATACATTGATGAAGTATTGAGCAAGACATATATTTAGCCTGCCAGCCAAACATTCTTTCATTGGAGTGATTATAGCAAGAAATTTAATACTAGTCTTTATATTATTGCTCTTAAAGACAATAAGGGTTTGGCAAAGCTTTACTGAAAATGGCTTATTAAATCATCTGATACAGGAGTGAAGAAAAATCTGGTGATAAAAAGAGGGTGGCAAAGGAAAAAGCATCTTTACAGAAATCGAAGTTGAGTCATAAACACAACCGAGGAAGTTTTTTCCCATCTGGATTTTCATTTTGTTTAATAACAAAGTTAATAAAAAAAAGCAAACATGAGTACCCTTGACCAAGACCTAAAAGCAATGAGTAAACTGACAACTGCAGAAATCCCTAAAAAGGATGTTGTAACTATTATAATGTCGGATGGAACTGTAAAGCCTACCAAAATTCCAAAAAAGAAGGCACCAGAACAGGTTTGTGAATACTGTATTTTAATGTCAGCTTTCTTAGGGCCAACTCAGACAGTGTTGTACAACACAGCCCCACGTGATTCATCGTCGGGGACGGTCTTAAGTCGTTGTGAGAAATATTAAGCATGTTTGATATTCTACAATATGACTGCCCCTGAAGCAAACCATCGCGTTTAACTCACACAGACTCGACGCGATATCAAATCGCGTCAAGCTGAGTCGTACGATACTGTGTAATTTGGCCTTCAGATTTCCATTCCCTTCTCTTATATCCTTCTCGATCCTATTCCACCTCTTCCCATTTTATTTCTTTCCGTTTATCTTCTCCCCATTTTTTTCTTCCCAATTTTCTCCATCTTGTCTTCGTTTCTACTTGTAATACATCTTTTGGTATTCAAAAATGTTCTGAGCAATAACCTTTTTTATCTGCAGGTTTTTTCATTTGTAGTGTACGAAGTTTTTTCATTGGGCAAAATGAAAGAATGAAGGAATTACAGTATATTTTAAAAAAATAAAGTTTTTATAAACAATGAAATTGGTAAATCTCAGCAAAATTAATATTTCATGATGTTTATAAAAATTAACAAACTCAAATGAAAGGTATCGATTAATTATCATTTTCCAAAATGATATTAAATAATAGATTAGCTTTTTTTGTTGTTGAAAGAATTGACTTATGTCCTAAGCATTGTAACGCAGGCAAGTAGTAGTGATACATGCATAACACCTAATTGTTGATAAATGGTGTAACAAGTTCAACAGAAGGTCAACAAAGAAATGGCATAATCCAGATAAGAGCATAATTTGAGGGTCCCTTGACTTGTTCTGATAGCGTAGTCATGTATGAAACACACACAGGAGAGGTTCCCTGCTAATGTACTGTGTTATATTTCCCCCTGAATGTACAGTGTTGAACTGTTATGGCTAATATAATAAATAGTACAAGCACTGTATTCTGTGAAATTGTAGAATTAATTGAGATTTTAATACTTAAAAATGCACTGGCACTTAGATTCAAATATTATTGCTATTTCATGATAAAAAAAGTAAAATAAAATAATAAATAATAAAGATAGTTCTGCCAACTTTATGGACTCGATGTCTAAAGAGTGCTAACTGCGATGAGTTTAGCAGCAAGAATTCATTTTTGTAGCCAGCTAGGAATATCTAAACAAATTTAATACTCTTTTCTGAGGTTTTGCATTCATGCTTTGTTTAGCCTATCATATTTTCTGAGCCAAAACACTGTTGTATGCACGTATATAGTCATGATGTGCCTATATGGTTATCATGAACATATTTTAGTCATATAACATGTTTTTGTCTAAATCAAATTTGATAGTCTGGACAAATAGTTTAATTGGCAACCCAGCTTGTCCAATGTTTCAATTTGTAACTAATTAACATGTAGGTATTATTGTGATGTTATTATGCTATACAGTTTTTGCTTTCTGGTAGATACAGTAATTTCAGGTTTTCATCAGGTGATATTCTGGAGGTTTGTGAGAGATCAGGCTTAATCCCTCACCTACCTTTTAGTCATCAAACAGGATATTAAGTATTTCAGGGACCTATACAAATAAGACATCCTATGATTTTCAATCTAGTCATTGTATAAATATAATATTTGAATGCGTGCAAATTTTGCAAAATTTTATTAGAACTAGTACTGTATAATAAATTTGCTTTTAGATGGAGCATGTATTACCATTACAACTAGAAACCAATGTATCCACAATAATTTAACTTTATGTTGTACAGGGTTAAAAAGCTTCTATTCTGCTAACTGGTATGCTCAGTTTTAATATACTGTACTGTATTACATTTTGCAGGTAATCGGTGTCAGGCCGCAAAAAACAAGGTTTTTTCTAGCCAAAGATGGTTGTCAGACCGCACACTTAGGTTTTTAAATTCATTTTGGTAGGCCACAATTAAATTACTGTTGGGCCACACTTTGCATGCCAGTGCTCTACGTACACATTACGGTATAAGTGTTGGATGAGACATGTCATGAGCAAATGGCAGTAGGCCTACTGTAGTTTCATATTAAACAGTGTTGACAGAGCTTAAAATTTAACAAGGAAACCCTTTTTAAACATACATTGCAAAAATTCATTTTGCGGAGTAAAATGCTCTCCCGCCAATTAAAATAATATATTGCATGAAAGAACCAGTACAGGTGTATTTACATTTTGTATACCTTTGTACATAGAATTACAGGTATTAGTATTGAAAGAGGAAGGCATATGAATGAATCATGCAGTACAGACCAGTCTGAAAACCTACACTGTTAAAGTACTTGTAGAATCTGTAGTTTCCTTGTTTAGTTTTTAAGGGCTGTTTGGAAGGGTTCTAGAATCAACAAAAGCCCTTGTTTCAATGATCACCTATGAAAATGTTCTGCTTACAATAATACAGAAAAAAAAATCTGCATACATGTATTATGAGCAAACTTGCTGAATACCTTTTATTGCCATACAATTTATAATGTACTGTATATTAATACCAACATTTTGGTAGCTGCAAATTGTTTGTTCTCACTGTACATCATCTGTTCTACGAATACTGTATTAGTACTTGAGTGAATATTTCAGAAGTTTTGTTTTGTTTTCATGTATTGATCAATGCTTTGATAATGTTTGCTCAAATATATACAATACGAGGAAATGTGTACTGGTTGATTGATTGGAAAGATTGATCCAAAGGAAAAGAATTACTTTTTCCAGGGTATCCAACCTGGAAATACAGTACATTCCATGTGATTGAATTTTTCAAGTTTCCTTGTTCCATAATTTATATTAAATAAAATTGTAAAGTATTTTAGTGACTTACGTACCTCTACCCTAAATTTTAAATCTTAAAAAGCAAAGCAATGCGTTAGTGTATTGCAGGGTTAAAAAAAACAAAAAAAACATTTGATAGTAAATATGATAAGATGCGACACCGACACCACCGAGAAAGTTGCTTCAAGTCAAATACCATTCAGGACTCAGATTCAGATTTGAATACAGTCTGATTGTTTGCTACAGATAGTTTTGTATGAGAGATACCCAACAGGGAAGGCAGTTCTTCACATGACAGTAAATCACAACATTCCAACCTTTAACTTTAAACATCTGAACAAAGAATTAAGTTTATTAAGTATTGAGCATAAATGTTTGGCTGAGGGTTTGGGTATGTAAGCCTACAACATTGCATGTACACTAATCTATACAGTATATAATCAAATACTGTGTGGATATAAATTTTAATATTTGTACTGTAAGACTTCTTAATATATTTTTTTTTCAAAAAAAAACTTAGCTTTAGGTTACCTCACTTTTGCCCTTCACCACTTCTTGTCCCCCCTTACAAAGTATTTTTGAATATCCTCTATATTTAGGACAGGTTACAACTGAAGGTATATAGTAGATGTACAGTAGAACTCCAAGAGTAAAACTAACTAGTAAACAAATTGATGAATTTGTTCTAAAAATATTATGGAATTTGAAATACTATCATATATCTTAAGGAAATAGTCACTCAAATTGCAGTTTTTTATTTAATTGGAAGAATAAGGCTGGACAAATGGTGATAATCTATTTCCTATTGTTTAGCTTCTGGGTATTCGTACAATAACCACACTGTACAGTGTATGCTGATAAATAATACTGTATTTATTATTGCATTCAAACTTAAAGGCAGCTTTACTGTACAAAAGATTATACAGTATTTGTTGTCAAAAAATTAAGGTGGAACTTTTAAGGTGGTCCCTTAAGGGAGGTAAATCATAAGAAAAATCCAGAAGTCAGAAAGTGGTCGTAGTCGCTTACGAGAGTACGAGAGGTGGTGGCTAGAGTGGTATCAAATACACTGATTAGATAGAGAGAACAAACAGGACCATATGAGAGTGCATGTTAAGGGAGGTGATCGCTTATACAGGAGGTGGTCGCACAGGGAGGTTAAACTGTATCATAGCTGTTAATTTACACTCTTCCCAAATAATACTGTACATAATACAATGTTTTCATATGCTCGATACAAGTAACCAGAGAGTTACCATGATTGTAACAAATTATTTTTTATTTTAACTTTAATTATTACTGTACACTCATCAAATTTGAGATAGATGACACGTCGTGTGCTTCAGATCTGATTCAAGGGTCACTCATTTACTCTGTATTATTGTAATAAAGGTGGCTTGTGTACCTTTTTCACTTTATTACATCATTCACTTTGCAACCTGATACATGATCAGGGGTTGCAACAGGATTTGCCTGACGTGAGGGGTGGTGAGGTCTGTGACAAAAAAAGTGGGTGTGGTCGGGCATCGCTCAGTCTCTCAAATGTGCTCCAGGGGGCCGAAGCCCCCGAAATAATATGACAATTTAATTAGGGGTTTCAAAGGCTTATTTAATCAATTTTGGAGTCTACTAATATGTAGAAAATACATACAGTATGAATTTGCTTTCTTCCTGACGAATTGTGGTTTTTCTCCCCGACGGGCGGCCCTGCTTCCCCCTGTACATGATTTCAACATAATTACTCATTCTGAGGTTTGATTGATAACTATGTGTTTATACGACTGTCTAACAATATTGTATGCTCATTATTAGTACTATTTAATATTCATATATTCTTTTTGTTATTATTTCATCATCTCCACATAAGCATACTGAGATGCCCAACTGCATATAAAAGAATGCTAAATATTATTATTATTAATAGAAAAGGCCAGCAGTTTATCAGAAACAATCCCTAAACAGGAATTTTTCACATAATTTTTCACCTTCGTACCATACTGTCGCTAAATGTACATAGAGGACGTAATGCTTTCACTCATACTTTAACTGCATGGCAATAGTTGATTCCAAAAAGCTTATGTGGAGAAGATGCATGTATTAAAAAGTAAATGTTCTTGTTTTGATCATTGATACCAGTTTTGAAATGGCAAGCCCCATTTATTCTTGCAATCTTTATCTTGCAATATATACTGTAAAGCACTGTATTTTTGTGCACCCTTAATTTTTCACGATTTTCATGATAAAACGACGATTGCTAAAATTAAGGGTGCGCGAAATTCTGAATGATAGTTTTGTCACTGGTTTTGTCAGCTATAGCTAGTATACTTCAGATAGTCCCTCAATTGTAAAATCGCAAAAATAAAGGAAGCAAAATATTTTAGTCTATTTCGTGAATACTTACCTGGATATATTTCAAATTTTTTAAATTGGGAAAATAAAGGGCTTTACAATAACTAGCGATGTCACTGTTGTCTAATAGTTTATCACCATCTTTGCAATTTTGCAATTAGAGGCTGTCAATACTCTTTCAGTAGATTGTCCCACAGAAAATGGCCAGCGATTGCACCCCTTGTTTGTGTGGAATAATAAATTGTAATTATTTTTATTCTGGCTTACAGAGCAAAAGTGAATCGCTGAAGTGTAAGGAGGCCTTTCAGCTGTGTAAGGAACGTGATGATAAAAGGTTGGACCTTAGCAAAGCCGGTGTAAGTTCATATTCATTTCTTTCATTACTACAAATGCCATCTTGTGCCAGTGTCTGCTGAAACAAGTCAAAAACACCCACTAGGGTCAAATATACTGAATACACGGCCCACGATAACGAAACTATGTATACTGGGTTAAAACATAATTCTGCTAAGGTCCTTAAAAAACTTGCATACCAAAAAATAACAGTAACAAAAATATATATGTGAACAATCTGTAAAATTATCATTTTATTTTTGATTGAGGCAGAACATTGTTCAATCTGATTTGGTATGATGGTGTCAAGGGATAAAAGATGTTTTCCTTAAACTTTCCACAACGTACACATAGCTCTAACCCTGCACTGGCCTGAATAACATGTGACAAAACCATCTTATTGTACCTCTAGTGAAAGTTCTACAGTTTGATGTGTTGTATACGTTGTGTTTCTGTACACAAGGAATAGAAAAATTGAGCAATTTCACCAAAGTATTTGAATGAAAAATTATAATTTTTTTTTCTTTTTTTCAGCTTACTTCACTTCCTGTTTCTGTAAAAGAGGTAGGGTACATTTAATTATTAGATGTTTTCTATAAGAAAGAAAATACACTTGTAATACTATAAAATATATTTTGGTTGAAATCCTGTCAAAAAAGTAGGATTTTTGTTCTGTTGACAAAGAGAGCTCCACTGCTACAATGTCATGAGATTTTATGTATGTAAGTAGACAACGATGTTATCTCAAAAGGCACCATAACATAGCAACATAGATAATCTTAAGTGTTAGAACCGATGCCTGCTCAGTGGCAGTCTGTTGCCAGTTCGGAAGCATTCCCAGGCTGGCTCGTTTATAGTCCAGGGCGGGACTCATAATTGTAAATAGGGCCTTACCAAATATTAGTATTGGATGTAGATCAGGGTCTCTACATAGTACGAGAAATTCTTCTTGAATTCCTAATTGGTTGACCATTGATTATAAGCAAATATTGAAAATTATTTGTTTTTATTCTTTTCTCACTGATATTGTTGGTAATGGTTTTTTTAAATTTTAAACAATGCTACCAAACGGTATACATAAGACAAAAAGAACGATGCATTTTATGAACAGGATGCAAGCCTTTATTGTTATAGCAGACCTGTTTAGAGAAAGCCAGTTCTCATCATCTGTGACAATTACAATTCAGTACTCATGTATATTTGCAATTGAATTGCAAATTAGCAACACATTTTTCTTTTTTCTATTCTCCAGCTGACACAGTTGACAGAGCTTTATCTCTATGGAAACAAATTGCCCAATCTTCCTGCAGAGGTTGGCAACCTTTGCAACCTCAAGATCTTGGCTCTTAACGAAAACTGGATGACATCCTTGCCACAGTCACTCTACAAGCTTGGCAGCCTGGAGGTCCTCGACTTAAGACACAACAAGCTGAAAGAAGTAAGGCGTGCAGGTTTTTTCAAATAGCACTTTATTTTTGTAATCAGTACAATCAGGCAATTGTACATATTATAATAATGGGAATTATCTTTTTTTTTATATAAAGATTTTGAACTTGTGTTTAAAGCTGTTACCCATTAAAACCCCAATTGTTTTCACTTGTTATAAATTCTTACCACTTCAATACCAATTTTTGTAATATGTTTACAAATTATTTTTGTTGTTATACAATATTGTTATTGTTTTATAATTAATGCTTGCGGTACACCACGTAGATAGTTCTGAAAAGAACTGTTGTTGTTGGTTCTTCAGGAGAATAATGTTTCTCCTGAAGACGGTTGAAGCAAGTCAACCGAAACGTCGAGATATTCTCAACCAACAACAACAGTTCTTTTCAGAACTATCTACGTGGTGTACCGCAAGCATTAATTATATATTATACTTCGCCATGCAAACCTTCAAACAATAAATATTATTATTACACCGCCATTACCATTATTATTGTTTTTATTTATTTTTTATTGTTATTATAAAAGAGCAGTGTCCTGGTTCTGTGTTGGCTTAAACAACAGTAACATATAAAAGATCTTCTACCATGAATTTTGTTCTCAATTTTCTTTCTAGATTCCAGCGGTGGTATATCAATTGACATCTCTTACAAATCTGTACCTACGTTTTAATCGTATTACTGTGTTAGAAGAAGAAATCAGTAATTTAAGGGTATGTTGCTTCAAAAATAATAACTAGAAAAACAAATGCGTAATTTAGGTGTATGTTGATTCAAAAGTAATAACTAGTTGGAGTAAATCAGTAATTTAAGGCAATAATAATAACTAGTTACCTACATTTTAATCATATTACTGAGTTAGAAAAAGAAATAAAATTAAAATTAAAGATGTGTTGCTTCAAAATTAATAACTAGTTAGAATAAATCAGGGGCATGTCACTTTCAAACATATAAGAACTAGTTAGAAGTAAAAAAAATGTTGTGTTGCTTTCAAACATTTAATATGTTAACAACTCATACAATATATCTGTTCAAAAAATTTTACTTTAGAAAAATACTAATTACAAATTTACAGTAGTTCTAGTTATGGCCCTGTCACACCTTGACGATTTAGTCAGCATATGCCAAATGTATCATAATTTCTCTAAAACGCTGGCATACGCTGGACTATCAATGATTTTTTTCAAATTTGGCCGCATTCATAGCGAATTCTTAATGTATTGGATGTATATAGAACGTTTTGTTTACTTATAGAAAACTTACATGAACGAATGTTAGTGTGTTGCCGGCGTTCACAACTTATGCCCAGCGATAGTCTACAGTACCTATATGCACAGCGCGCGGCAGCGTATCGCCGATTATCATGTGACGTAGCCTATAAAAAGGCTGCCGCTCATCAATTCAACTCATAATCGCACTAGACATCGAGAGTTTCAAACCCACAACCGATGCGCCAACCATTTCTACGATATGATCACATACTTGAATCAATTACTATTGAGTAATTTATAGTTTGATTGATCAATTTTTCCCCTTTAAATTCTTTGCTTTACAAACCAATTCTTTAATTTCTTTTTCTCACAGAGGTTGACAATTCTCAACTTAAGAGATAATAAGATTCGTGAATTGCCAAAGGGCATAGGTCAGTTAGTTCATCTCACAAACTTTGACCTGTCACACAACCAAGTTGAGCATTTACCAGATGGTAAGTGGATATTTGGCAATTTTAATTGATAATAGGAATAATTAAATTAATTTTTCCTTAAATTAATGAGAATGTCGTTGATTATTAGGAAAGAAAAATTTACCTTAGATTAATATGGAATGTTTGCTTATCATGTACTTTAAATGTTGTGTGCCTTCCTTTAATAGAAATTGGCAACTGTGTCCAGTTAACATCATTAGATTTCCAGCATAATGAATTGCTGGACATACCAGACAGCCTAGGCAACCTCAAGTCTCTTAGCAGACTTGGCTTAAGGTAAGCAATGCAACCGGACCATGAGCACTATGTCCTTGCTATCATCCACATCATGTTTGTCAGTCATCTTCATCAGTATTACCTTCCTTACAAACGAAACATTCAATTGCATAAATGAATATAATAACATTTAAAAATCTTCATCATCATCATCATCACCATGATCATTGCATTACATGATCATCATTATTACATCATCATTATCACCATGAAATAACCATCACTATTTCACTCTATCTAGATGTCGCTACAGAAACTATTTGTTTCTAGCTGTAATACAGTAATAAATTTGCCATATGTGCACACACATTGATCAGTGATCATATGTTTGCATGTAAAGAAATATTTATAATTTTTTTAACAGGTACAATCGTCTAACAGGAATCCCAAGGTCACTGAGCAAATGTTCTGAACTAGATGAATTCAACATTGAAAACAACAACGTTTCATCACTTCCGGTATGTACACCTTGTCAAATTCAAATGGATGACAATGATAATGGTGTTTAAATTTGAAATATTTTGTAATATGCAGAGTTTTAGCTAGGAGCTTTATGCTGCTTGTTGTTCAATCCTGGGGGCTTATGGTCTTTGTAATTTCATTGTGTGTATGTATGTATGTATGTATGTATTATTATTATTATTATTATTGTTATTATTATTATTATTTACAAGCTAAAATGCTTAAATATGAAAGTATTGAGATATTTCTCCTAAAATTAATGAATTTAATTTACAATGCCTGCAGGCTTAACTCCAATTAACTGTGTTTATTAAGTTGCCAGTTTTATACATAATATTGCAAGTACTGTAGTATAATATAGAGGAAAAACATTTTGTAAACAAAGGTTTTCTTTACACTATAACTTGATTCAATTCTGGTTTGATCATGTATGTTTTATTTATTGCTGCAGGAGGACTTACTTTCTAGTCTGGGTCGAATGAGTTCCGTGTGCTTAGCTCGAAACAACTTCTGCTCCTACCCGGTAGGAGGCCCTGCTCAATTTGCAACCGCCAATGTAAGTATATACACTATTATAGCATACATAGATTCTAGGCATCTGATTGGTTAAGAAGCGGGCAATAACTTCAACCATCACTCCTATGACGTAGGTTGGGTGTGATAGTACTTTTTTGCCCTGTCGAGATGTGTAATCTCTAGGCCCCCACCTATAACATGGTTACTATGCAAATTATTACACGCACATACGTTAAAGAGGACGCAACCTCTACGACGCTGAGGGAGATTAGCCCTTTGATCACCTAGGCCTAGGAAGTATTAAAGCCAGGCCTACTTGGTGGGTACTCTTTTCATTACTTTTTTAGGCCTCATAGAATCTATGTAGGAGGTATATAGAATAAATAGTGACTGCTCTAGGTTGGGGAAACAGTGAAATCTATAGCCCCTCGATGTTGTGGAGACCATAGCCTATCTTCCCTAGAGTCTTTCGGCCCTAAGGAGGATAGGTCACGATCTACACAACACCTCGGTGCAATAGATTTCACCATTCCCCTCATGAGCAGTCAATATTTGTATATATTATGTACTAATTGTGGACCATAATTTTTTAATACTAGCCTCCTATAGCCTGTTTTCGACTAGATGAAATTTATTCGCGCAAATCGTAAGCGTCGTTTCATGCGTATTCACATGTCTATCAAAGTTTTTGCTAAGCGAAAAAATGTGCAACCAATCAGAGTTTAGGAAGTGAACCGACTTTGATTCGCGCGAATAAATTCACCTAGTGGAAAACTGGCTTAATAGGAATGAAATGTTAGATTCAGAGAGTTTACTAATGTAATTATTTGTTTGTTTAGTCTGTTAACATGGAACATAATCAGATAAACAAGATTCCATACAAGATCTTTAGTAAGGCAAAGAACTTGACAAAACTCAATATGAAAGATAATCAACTAACAGCTCTACCCCTAGGTAAGTACATGTATACTGTGATAAGTTTATTTTTATAAATTTGCCCTTCTCAGCCACCATGAAAAAATAATGGTAGTTTTTTAAACAAGGTTTTTAATAAATTTGATTTGTAAATGCCAAATAATTGAAAAAAAAAAACTTGTTAGCATGACATTGTCAGGGAATGTATCTTGCTGTTTCAGTTGTTTTTTATAGACCATATTTTCAACTTGATTTGGTTTTTGGGGTACAGTTTATAATCAAATTGGTTGAGCTTGCTGACATAGACCTTTGTTGTGTTTTTTTTACCATGGTTATTTTTCCAGTACAAGGTCAATAATATCTAATGAAGATGAATAATGTAATTACAAAACATTTGTGAAATGTGTTTTTTGTAGATATTGACAGTTGGGTGACAATGGTAGAGTTGAATTTGGGAACCAATCAAATAAGTTTGATCCCGGACGATGTTGACAAACTTCAATCCTTAGAAGTGCTCATCCTTAGTAACAATTTACTAAAGGTTAGTATATAAACTGAAGTATTATAGTTTTAACTTAATGTGAGGGAGACGGTTGGTGCAGCAGTTGCTGGATTTTAAACTCGTGGTTGGGAGTTCGAGCCTCTCACTGTCCACTTGTGGCCAGGCTTAGATACCTTAGCTTGCATTTTGGGCAGGCTGTAAGAGATGGTTCATATGTTCCAGCCTTAAATGCAGGTTGGCTATCGCGCCCAAGATCAGGCCCATCGTTTGCAGGGCCTTTCTATAGGGTTAAATCTTTGCCCTGCATCCTCTAATAAAAAAAAAATACAGTGAATTATTCAATCTTACATCGGGAAATTCTCATGAATTGTTTACTATAATCCTTTTCAATATTTCTGATGTTTAGATATTGCCTCGAACATTTGAAAAGTTAAATGTTGTTTGAGAGAGCAGCTTAGCTCAGTCGGCTAATCTGGTGGTAGCCACTGTGTGTGCGCTGAACCGTGGAGATCTCTAGGTCCCCTGTCTCTTATACACATCTTCTTCCCTAGAGTCTTTCGGCCCTAAGGAGGATAGGTCACGATCTACACAACACCTCGGTGCAATAGATTTGGTCCTGTGTGCATTTATGGCCCATGTGCACGTTAAAGAACACAGTACACTCTTCGGAAAACAGTAGGGGGATTGTCTCCCGGTGTAATGTCCAATCACCACCAGAAGGACCCCACTGGAAACAAGTCTTTTTCTAGACTTTCGTGGGCTATCCTTGGTGTTTACACCGAATAAATCCAATCCAATCCAATACTGTAATCCTTTTCAATGTTGTTGTTATGTTTAGAGATTGCCTCGAACAATTGGAAAGTTATCAAAGTTGACTGTTCTTGACCTGGAAGAGAATAAATTGGAATATCTACCTGCCGAAATATGTAAGTTAATGTTAAGCACTGTCCACACTATCAAATTTTCTTTGACAAAAAAATGTTGTATGCCCATATATAGTCATGATGTGATGTCATCATGACCATATTTAGGCATGTTATGTGTTTTTGTCAAATGAAATTTGATAGTGTGGACAGGGCTTTAAGCTCAGTGCACACTATCAAACTTTCTTTGAAAAAAAAACTGTTGTATGCCCATATATAGTCATGATGTGGCTATTTATGGTCATGTTGTCAGGCAGGGCCGCCGAGAGCAGCCGCGGGCCCCGGGGCATCTTCGCTGCCCAGGCCCATTGGTTGGGGGTCTGAGGGCCGCCTGGGGCCCGAGCGGGATCGAGGGGCAAAGCCCTAGTGTGCCTCCCCCCCAGGAAGTTACATCCTTTTAAACGGATCAGAGGACTGCCTAATTTCACCAGGTCATAACAAAATATAGCACAAAAACAAGAGAAGTAAAAGCTATTCTTCTTTTTATTCAAATATGCTGAAAAGATTCATAACATAGATAACAAAGTTTCCAGTGGCGGATACAGGAATTTGAATAAGAAGGGGCCCAGAGAAGGACTTTCACCATTGATGGTGTATCTACCTCATCCCCACCATGGTTGGGGCTGAGGAAAATTTATGATTATGGCACCTCTGGATAGCTGGAAATGGCACTCTTGGTCATAAAAAAAAATATAGCACAGAAACAAGAGAAGTAAAAGCTATTCTTCCTTTTATTTAATCATGCTTAAAAGATTCATTACATAGATATCAAAGTTTACAGTGGCGGATACAGAAATTTTAATTAGAAGGGGCCCAGAGAAGGACTTTCACAATCATTGACGGCCTATCTACCTCAGCCCAACCATGGTTAGGGCTGAGGTAAGAACATTTATGATTATGGCACCTCTGGATGGCCAGAAATGGCACTCTTGGACTTAAATTTGTGTAAAATTTTTTTTTTAATCATTTTTGTTAAATTTTGAAATATTTAGGGGGTGGGGGCTGGGCCTCCCCTTAAATCCGCCACTGGTTTAATATATTAATTCAGTATTTATTTGGCAATCGAATCTCTATCAGGTCTATTCGTATATTCTAACTTGTATGTATATTGACAATGTCAGTGCTCCAAGCCTTTTATAATTATAATAACGTAAAGAATGTACTATTTGATACATTGTAAATATGAACTCTAGAGTAATAGAAGTCATGAAACATTTCATCTAAAAGAATTAGAAGCGATTAACTACTAGCTTTCATCGATAAACGGCCAGCTTTATTTACAATTCTTGTGGGAAAAACAAATGAATGATTCTGGATGAATGTATACAGTTAATAATTATCATTTATTTTTTTTATCTTTTTATTTTTTTACCTAGTTATCGCAGGCCCCTGCTAGCCCTGGGACACTTGCCCCGGTTACCCCGGCTTCTCGGCGCCACTGCATGTTGTGATGGTATCATGACCATATTTAGGCATGGCATATGTTTTTGTCAAATGCAAGCTGATAGTCTGGATACCACTTTACGATGTGTGATCAGTTAACTGTAGTTTTTCCAATAAGTTCCTTGCATTTATTACAAGTGTCTGCCTCCAAAGTACTTGTACTAGTTTTTTTGTTATATGTTGTGCAAGTGAAATATGGGTTATAATGTTGATCTTGGGGTGATATACGGTAAAAATATGTTGTATTGTATAGACTTGAACCCATGACCTTTTATAAAAGCCTATACTGATGTATAGGATATATGATGATGTGATCTGAGTAATGAAACAGTTGGAAGATGATAAGAACAATGATAATTATAATTATGATAACAGTAAAACTGGATCTGCGGCTAGCAAACGCTCACTTTCTCTGATGCATTCTACCTTATGAAGACAATGATAACTATGATTTAATGACAACAGTTACTATGGTTATGGCTGCTCTTGTGAATTTTCATATAACTTTGTTTTTTTCCTACTTTAGCTTATCTGAAGGAATTAAAGAGATTGGTGGTCCAGTCAAACAGGCTGACTTCTCTACCACCAGCAATAGGGTAAGTAAAGATATATACAGTTGCGCTATACAGTACAGTGGGAGAAGTTGGTGCAGCGATTATGCTTCGGTTGCTCAACCTAGAGGTCAGGGATCCGCTCGAAATTTTGATTGAGTTCCTGGGCAAGGCTACGTTTGTCTCTCTTCATCCAAGAGTATAAATGGTTACCTGGTAGGATGATGTGGCATTCAATGTGTTAGTCTGTATGGGCAATAGATTGCAAACACGACTATATGTATGAATAAGAATATGGATAAGAAAAGTATGGTTAATATATTCAAAGCCTTTATATTAACTAACTAAGTGTAGAATTATTTCGTATTTCATTTATGTTAAGCAAATGAATAAAGATTAAACCTTTATATATTTGATGCTATTCTGTCAGAGAATTAAGGAAACATTGGAATTTTTTCAAGAATATTTTTAATTATTTATTTTTTTGTATATTTTTATGCAGAAACTTGTCAAGTCTGCAATATCTTGGTGTTGGCGAAAATAACTTGTCAGCTTTGCCAGAGGAGATAGGTAAGTTGCACAGCTCCATCAGCTGTGTATGGACGTGATAATGTCATACCACAATCATAGTCCAACGTGTATATGTGTTTTCCATGTTTGATTTTGCATCTTCATGTTTATGTTTCTTAGTTGAATATATATATGAAATGAAATAAAACTTTATATTGTGGCCTAAGCTTACACTAGTCATTATACTGCTTTAATATGCCTCCCAACCTACTTTACCTGGCTTCCTAACCTACTTGTAATGCCTGACTTCCAAACCCAATTTCAATAGCTGAATTTCTAACCCACTTTCAATACCAGAATTTTATATCAGCTTTTAATTTCCAACCGGTGGCAGTACCAGCAGGAGGCTTAGTGGGACGGGCAAGACCCCTGTCGAACATGACATATTTTGGACCAACAAAACTTTACTTCTTTAAGCATAATACATTCTAAAACATCTCAGAACAGCTTAGAAGTAGCTCAGAATTGCTTAGTTTCAAAAGGCACCAGTAACTCAACCCCTGTGCTTCCACCTGGAGCAGCTTAGGTCAGTCAGCTAAACTGGTAGTAGCCACTGTGTGCTCGCTGAACCATAGAGATATGTTGATACCCTGTTCAATCCATCATTGCTCTCCTTTTATTTCAGCTGGAGGGCTGAAATACAAGTTATGATAGTTGACCCATCCTTTGGATGAGACATTTAAGTCATTGGTCTCATGTGCATCTTAAAAAACGCAGTACACTCTTCAGAAAAAAGTAGGGGATTGCCTCTCGGTGTACTGCCCAATCACCATCGGATAGATCCCACTGTAAATAAGTCTTATTTTCAGACTTTTGTGGGTTATCCTTGGTGTTTACACCGAATAAATCCATCCACCCACCAATGCTTTTCCCCTGGATTATGATTGGACCTGCTTTTTGTATCAGTTCCATCTAAATTTGTGAGACCCTTTGTCAAACCGCTATTGAACTACCATATATGACCACCAGTATAAATACATAATGGTTATGTTGATTGCCAAGAAGGAAAACAACAACAATAATTTTACATTTCATTTTTAGGATCCTTATCAACGCTTGAAGAATTGTATCTTAATGATAATCCTAATTTGCATAACTTGCCGTATGAACTCGCACTGTGTATGGCACTTCAGATCATGAGTATTGAGAATTGCCCTTTGACACAGATACCTGGCGATATTGTTGCAGGAGGGCCTTCACTGGTTATTCAGGTGCGTTTTCAGATATTTTTTACCAGTATTTATTCATTTTTAGAGTCAGCTAGGGCATAGTGACGACTTGTCACGTTAAAACTACGTTCACATCAAGCCTGAATCCGTTCCGGAGCCCAGTCAAATAATCGTGAGCTGTTATGTTTTTTGAACGGACTGGATCCGAGCTTTGGTGTGAACGTAGCTTTAGACCAACTGAGACAGCACTGCATGATTCAGCCCAATGTGTCATGTCTGCGTGAGTTAAACACAGATGCAATGTGTCAACATAAGTCTTCCTCTTGGACAGTCTAGTAGAATATTAATGATGTTAAATATTCTGACAATGACATAAGACTTTACATGACGATAAATCGTGTCGTGTCCATTAACGATACAACATTTTAAAAATGAATATTATTATTATTATTTGAAGGTAGATAAGAAGACCATTATTACTGAAGATGCAATAAAGACATTTAATATTAAAGATACATAAAAGATTATTTGCCATTGGGAACATTAAGAACTTTCAATACTATAGATACATAAAAACAAATGTAATATATTGAATGTACATAATAGAATAGGCCATTTAACATTGAAAATACAAAAAGAATTAATATTGAAAATACTTTAAAAAAATAATGATATTGAAGATACAGAAGAAGATTATACTGTACTGCATAATATTATAGTGTTTTATCTTTAGTGAAATTAGAATTTTTGGTCTTTCTTACAGTTTCTCCGATTGCATGGACCGTACAAGCAAATGGGGAGTGTATAGAGATCTGACAACTGTGTTTAGATATCATGGAATGGTGCTGTAATATGTAGATAGAAGTATTGTCTACACACAGACCTATATCTATGTGCAATCTGCCCAGCTTGCTACTCAAGTGGTTGTACTTAAAAAATACACACATAAATAAAGATAGAACAAAATAGTTGGTTATATATAATACACACTAAGGTCCAAATCTATGTTTCTGATTGATTTGATTCCCAAAATAAGCATTAGTGTGTGAGCATGTTTGTCTATCTCTGTGGTACGTGTACCCTTTTCCCAAATTTACAGATGGTTTTCCGCTACCTGTTGTTTAATTGACACCTCCACCAATAGTGACCTCACAGTTCACACCACAAGGGTGAACAAATTTAATATACCACCGATGAGGTACAGTAATACAGTAACAGATTTGTTGTACTCCCATTGTTGGAAACCACATTAAACCTCTAGGTCCAATTCACCTAGGCTAAGTCCATCAGATATTCACTAACTTGGTAATAGGTAAACATTGATGAACAGGTCTATACTGGTGGAACCACTAAGCTCGGTACGTGTTATGCATGAAGTAAGCATTTTAGCTAGCATTTTACCCTGTATTACCAGGTTCATTTTGGGCAAGTTTCCCAGTATTTGCTAACCTAGTATTGCATTAGTGTTCAAATAATTTCATCTGGTTTCTAAATGTGTATACTAAGTTAGATTCTTCAGATCGAGGCTGTTGCAACTTGGTGAAAATTTTGTTTACATCTAACACAGTGGACTAGACTTAACATAGTTTCAAACCACAGTTTCTGTCCAGTTACCCTGGATACCCTCTGGAATTGTTCTATTTGGTGATATCTTTAATATACCATTGCGATTCAAGTCTCTGCAAATTATAAACATATCTTCAAAGTTTTTTTATCCGTTAAAAGAACATTGTTGTCTGAATTAAATACTTATTCCTCAATATTTTATGTTCTTGTAGAAATGCCATTGTAAATTTGCTCCTCTGTTGTGGCATTCCATTGGACATTTTATTGTGTCATACCGTATGAAATTATTAATGTCATTGTTGATAGAATGCAGCCATATAACCTGATTTTAAGTATGCAATACTCATTGGGAAAGTAGAACCAAATGTCTTGATATTTACATAGTAACCTTAACCACCAGGATAAGTAATGAAACAATTAAAAGAGAATGTAAAATTTCTATTAAAAAGTATCCAAATTTAATTTGAACCATACTTAGAAGAAAACAGAGGACGCTATAACACATTAACTTAATTCAATAGATTCCATCGTAAACTTCCTTTGTCTAATGTTTACTTGTGCTGTAATTTCAGTTTGATGGATTGGTTGAAAGTTTAAATTATATGGTGCTTAAATGCCTTCTTATTTCTTTACTTTCTTCTCATAGAAGAAAGTATTGCTTTTGACACCAGTCACATGTATATATTGTGTTTGTTTCTTTTCATGTATCTTTTAGTTTTTGCAACAGGAATGTTTTTTTCTTTATTTTTATGCAAAAGAGATTGCTCTGTGGCCCTCCTTAGAGGGAGCAACAAACCTTTTATTTCCTTTGATATTCTGGAATATAAATTAATAGGCATACTATAGCACTATTTGGATTAGACAAAGCTAAAACTAACAACGTATCTTTTTTCTTTGAAATTCCTGTTTTAATGCTTTGCAAGTTCATCAATTCTTTGCATATGCATTTATAATTTGCATATACATTGATGCTTTGCTAGTTAGATCAGTGCTCTCCAAATGTGTCAATGCTTTGCAAGTTCATCAATGCTTTGCATATGCATTTATAATTTGCATATACATTGATGCTTTGCTAGTTAGATCAGTGCTCTCCAAATGTGTCAATGCTTTGCAAGTTCATCAATGCTTTGCAAGTGCATCAATGTTTTGCATATGCATTTCATGATTTGCATGTGCATGGATGCTTTGCTAGTGCATCAGTGTTCCTCAAATATATTAATGTTTTGCAAGCTCATCAATGCTTTGCATATACTGTGATACTTTGTTAGTGCACCAGTGCTCTTCAAATGTATCAATATTTCACAAGCTCATTGGTACTCTGCATATGCTAGTGCCTTGATTCTCTGAAAATGCATTAATACCTCAAAATACTACTCATCAATGCTTTGCATATGCATTTATAATTTACTAGTGCACCAATGTTTGTTGCTTGACAATACTTTGCAAGTTCATTGGTGCTTGGAAAATTCATCAACGCTCCATTTCTGCAATTATGGTTTTTCTTTGTGCATCAGTGTTTTGCATGTACAGTCACTCGGCACAAGTACATTGCTGTCCTATTTCTTTTATATTAATGTATTCATCTATGATCACTATATGCCATAAAATTGTATTATATTATTTACCAGGATTAAGGAAATGTTTACCAACTTCAATAATTTGTTATTCATATGTCTTTAGTATTTGTATTTTGGATTGAAATCTGAGGATTACCTAGCTTAAGATCGGCGGCATAGTTCTCGTCAAATTACTCATTCTGCTGAATTGGAAACAATTGTGTTTGCACAGTATGTTTAAGCAATGTATACTTAAAATTGTTAGATTAATTTGGCTTCGATTCAGAATTTAGTATATACTTTTATGGGTATTGTAGTATTTTGAAGCAAGATGTATTTCTGAGTTTATAAGAAGTGGACATACTATGGTGAATTAATAACAATCAAAAGATGATGAACAGTCCTCAATTCAGGTCCATTTATTATTAATGGACCTGAATTGACTGTCAATCAAACTCAACAACTGACCAATCACAACATGGCCAGAAACATGCGCTTGTCCGACAAGCATACATGTTGTCCTACAAACGCGCATGTTCGCGTATGTCATTTTGTGGGACCTCAACAAAATCCAACTTACAGTAAAGTCCATTAATTTTAATTCATGTAGATGTACAGATTCTACATCATATTTTCTGTGTAGGCTTCCCAGCATCTGAGCAATATTCAATGAAAACAGTATTTCCCTAAAAACAAAAGAATAATAACTTTGCTAATAATAATAGAACTCTCGTATTTGTCCCTTGAGTTAAAGAAAGCAAGATTGATTTCATTAAAAAGAAATTATATTAAAATAAATTATATGGGATGGATAAGAACCCTAAAGTAATTCAACTTGATTGTCTGACCTTCGTATTTTCAACGTATCAACTCGTATGCCAGAATATATTTTCGTATGCTTCTTAGTGGGTAATCTTTCTAAATATTGATCAAGAAGGGTTATAATAATATGATGGATTGTATTATGTACATTTTCCTGGGAATTTATTTATTTACAACTCAACTTAAATAAGGAATATTTTAAACTGTGCAAGTGTATATATACTTAGTAGTTTGTATTGTTTATTATTCATAGTAGTGTAAAAAGACAAACTAATTGTGTTGTCGTTTATATGCCGCAAAACATGCATTCGTATTCACATATTGATACAGCTGTGGCGAGTAGCACATTATAGGCACCCTTTATATTTGACCAAATTTTCTTAAGCATGATTCATATCGCATAGTTGTGGGAGAACGGTTAACCTTGTGCATGAAAGTAAACACAGTGTTCAATTAAATATCATTACATTTAATTTGTTCCAAAATATAAATATGGTTAATTCAGCATCGAAGGACACAAGTTTGTGGGAACTTAACAACAATATCTAAAGGGTGGAGATTATTAGACATGCTGTTACTATCCCATTTACCTGCAAACCCTTTAAAAGGGCATTCAGGCGGGTTGGTGAACCAGGTTTTGCCAGAATCTTATCTCAATAATCCAATTAAACATCAAAGAAGAATACCTCTACTTCAGAGTCATTATCACAGCAGGCATTGCTGTTTCTCAATGAATTACCAGTATAGTATTCAAAAACCAGGCTGAAAAATTTTAAAAACCTGTTGTTCAAAAATATTTGGGATTTTTATTACCTTAGCTATAATTTCAGGTAAAAATCATAATCTTAAGAACTATTCATAACTAACTAGAACCCTGAAGCAGTAATTAATAGAGATAAGAATAGATCGGCAAAACCTGGTTCAAAAATTGAAAATTTGGTAAATGGTGAAGTTTCCTCATGGCTTTCCATTCTTGGTTGATATTATTATTTAAAACCTTAAAATTAGTGCGTTGGTGATTGTAAATTCTTGATTGATTCACATTACCTTTACATATGACAGTTACCACAACCACGTTGCAAATTGTATTTAATGTCTTTATTTCCTTATATTGATTATATTATCTCTCAAATCTTTAGCCAAAGATTATAGAATTGCAAGAAGTCCGACTGCCATGACTTTGTATGCACGCAGTGAAACATTAAAAATAGTATTGCCAAGAGATAGGGGGCGCTATATTATAATTTGAGTAGAGTTCGCTCGAAACTCGTCTTTTAAGGACACGCCCCTTCGTGGCAGTACTTTTTAAAATAAGATTATTTTCGAACGAAACCACTAGTCGGACCTCTTGCCATTCTTTCTATTTGCTGTAGCCTAGTTGCAAAGGTATACCATGACTAAATTACTCATATTTAGTGAATAATATTGTTAACTTAAAAATAATATTCATGATTGTCAAAATAGTTACATCATAAGCAAATAATGATATTATTTTTGACATAATATTATATATTATATTAGTTGATCAGATGTGATTGTTTGATACCACTTTAGTATTTAATAGTTACTGGGACATGTGGTAGGAAAAGCGATACCGTATAATATAAGGTGTCAGTTCACTGGGTATCTTCTATCATAAGATACCCAAAAGGGAGCAAAACCTCCATAACAGTTATGGTTCCAGAAATTTAGGCAATGGTCTCAACAAGTGTGACAGGCCGCTTCTAATCAGACTTCAAATGTATAATCCTGGTTAGATTTTTTTTTTCAAGATTTAAAAAATAAAAAATAAATAAATGTGCTTTATGCTTTGTCCAGACTATTAAATTTTTTTTGACAAAAAAATGTGACATGCCTAAATATGGTCATGATGACATCACATCATGACCATATATAGGCACATCATGACTATATATGGTCATACAACAGTTATGATGACATCACATCATGACCATATATAGGCACATCATGACTATATATGGGCATACAACAGATTTTCGTCAAAGAAAATTTGATAGTGTGGAGAGTGCTTAAAGCTCTATCCATACTATCAAATTTTCTTTGAAAAGAAAACTGTTGTATATTTTTGTCAAATAAAATTTGATAGTCTGAACAGGGCCTTAGAACACAATATTATAAACTGCAAACAATAACTTATATTTTGGATTGGCAAATAATATGTTAGTCTGATGACCGAAAGCGGCGCTCAGTGTAGGGTCCATGCTTTTCGACCCTGTTGCTGACTGAGGAAATTCACGGTCTGCTGGCTACTCCCCACCCAGCTTTCCCCTGCAGGCGCTCCTACACCCATCCTCCTCCCCTTTCCAGGTGCCGCCACACACACCCTCCTTCTTGCAGGTGCCGCCACAACTCTAAAATCTAAAATTGACTGTCTTGTTCACATTTTATTGTCACAGCATAATAATATTCCCTGTTGTTGACTCGTATTGAGAATAGCAGTGAATGATTCCAGTCTCCTTGTGTAAAAAGAATACGAGGACGGTATGCGGGAACTTAGAAAAGAAATGAGTGTTACATTATGGAAATGTTCGGACATTACTTTGTTATTCATATGAAAAACCAGATATAACTTAATGATCATTTCAACAGTCATGCTGCTGTTCCGTCAATGACAAATATATTATTAGGCTGCAGTGTATTTTAAGTAGATAATGTAGGCCTACCATTGATTTGTAATTACAAGCCTGTTTAATTTTTGTGCAGATAATATAATAAGGATCAAGCACATTGTTAATACTCAACTATATGAATGAATACGGCTTAAGTCCCTTCTTTGTAGTTGTCTAAGGTTATAATAGTTCATTCATTTGTTTTAAGGGTTTTGGCGATTGTAATGCGTTTGACTTGGTGATATGTCAAGCGTCATATTTATGCATTTAAACTTGATCCTAACAGCAGATGTAACGTGCAGTATTCCTCCTAAATATGGTTGTACATAATTAATGCAAATTCGTTTAATGTGTATGTTGTTACGCTCTCAAGGTATACAATATATTGTATAATTGTCTGGTATATGTGATTATAGTATGGTAAAAGCCATTCTAACGCAGATCAAGGAATACAGTGCTACGAAGTTGACTAAAGCATGCAACGTAATGTATTCATAAACTAGAGAATCTTTTTTTCCTTCGCCATTCATGTCTTAGAAAACCGATCGATGCTAATACAGTTTTGTATCACAAATAAATTATCTAATTTTTATTCAGGCTATATATTTCAGGAAATTTAATGGATACTATTCCCAAATTTAGCAATTACGATTGTATTAATACACATTATTGAAACCTTTTCACCTACCAATTAGGTATACATTTAGGCTTTTAGCCAAGTTACTGTTTGCCTCAAGATGGTGACGTCCATTGATCTTGTAATTTAATCACAATTTGGTGGTGAACTTTTTAAACAAAAGTCGTTTGAAGATAGTTCCAATTTGACATTTTGATCCGATCATCATACGGGCGTTGCCATGTACACAATTATTTTCGTGACCATGTCAATACTTTTTTAAACTTTTGTATCCACCTTCTTGGGATTGGTTTTAAGCTTTTATTTTTTCTGATAAGGTTCTTATTTACACCTTACTTTTATTTTGTCATCTTGGGCCTATAGCTTAGATAAAGCATTGAATATATTGTAAATTTCTCAATATGACTATTAACTTGTATAGGACTAGGATCGTAGGGACCGATACGTTTTGTACGCCAAGTTGTTATACTTTGTCATGTACTTTTGTCATCTTTATTTGATCACTTGTTACCATGTTTATGATTTACTATATTATATAGCCTATAAGGAAAATGTTGATGATTTAACATGATCGTGTTTAAAAGAAACCTTAATTTTACCATGGACGTAAGCAAAATTTGGTTTAAAATGGCAGTATTCATAACCTTAACAGATGGTTTGATTTGTCGATAATTTTGAAATATCCATGCTTGCAAAATACCGGATACAATTAATTTCTATAATACAACAGGTAAATTAGTTGTCATACTCACTAAAAGTATGTTGATACAAATACGTAAGTTCCTTTTATACATAAGTTACTAAAGACGTAAATATGTGCTAAGAACGTTTACAAATTCAGTTCAGTTCATGGGGACGTGTCAGGGAGGCGGACTCCTTTTTAGACTTCCGTCTAGAATATTAAAACCCTACATTTTCAGTAGTATATAGCCAAGTAAATTTCAGAACTAATTAAGTTATGAACTAGTGTCATTAAATATGCTAATTATAATTTATAATTGAGAATGTACAGTTTATTTCCATGAGTATTCAGAGCGTAACTCCAGTTAATGTTTAGCTATAGATAGTAGCCTTCGATAGGTTGCGTCTCACCTCTGTTCATTCGTGTTGGAGATGTGTTGGTAGTTACATCATATTTTCTGAGAAACCAGAATTTGGTAGTAATCTGTTAAGAAGATAATGGTGAGAGAGATGTACGTTAGATGAACTACAAGAGAATATCGTTAATAACAAGATATACCCAAGCTATAGTCAATTGTGTGTTCTTTTTTTAAAGTACTACTCTCTTGAATTTTTGATACCTCGAACTATCATACATAGACCTATATCCATATATTGTTTTTTATGGGAAATACAAACAGTCGGAGTTAAATGTCCGAGGAATGCACACCCCGTGAACCAGTGACCAATTTCATACCTGTATATAACGCTAGTCGGGATTATATTAACAACGCCAATGTTGTTGCTAAACTGTCTAATCAGCCATGTTTGTTTTGGTCACATGGATAACTTATTGCAAATTAACGCACTCTGATTGACGTTAGTTTCCGTTGTCAAACAGGCAATGTTCTCACATGGCAGCATAACGGTTAGCAGGATCCGGACCGTTAGCTACCGTGCGTCCATACGAGAAAATCCCGATCCGGATACCAAGAATATGATGATCGAATTACTGGCCAATAAGAAACTGGAAATTGTAAACGCGTACGTGTGATTGGTTGATGATAAAAACGCGCTCACTTGCTAACCGTTAGCGGTATCCGGATACCGCTAACGGTCACCAAACGATTTTCGAGTTAAAATAACTCCTTCAAAATAACAGTGTTGGACTTGACCTTTCTCAAACTATGAATCTATGAGTGTCAGTTTTGAGCCCAAGTTCAGAAGTTTGTAATAAATTAGCAGTTTTTTGGTAAACAAGTATGGGGTGACTTAATCGAGACACACCCCCATTACCTTGAGTATAATAGGCAAACACCCCACATCACTGAGACAGAGAGAGACAGAGAAATTCGGTGATCAGACACCAGAGAGAAGAGATTAAGAACTGACTCCACTCTGAATGGGGTTCTTAGTAACCTGGAGTTAGTAGTCGATTGTTTATATGTACAGTAGATTAGTTTTGCAGTATATTGGTACAAAAGAACTGTGTTTATATCTCATTGAAAGTCACCTCCGACCAACTACAATATTACACTAGGCCTATAATTTCTCTGAACAAATACTGTATTAGATTGTTGTAGTTAGCTATTTTTTATGATGTTTGTTTTCGAATTATTAGGATTTTCTCCCATGGTTATAATTATAATATTTTTAGCATATTTATAAAAAGCCTTTTAAAAGCTCTGATCATTCTACATTGTGATTCGACTAAAGAAGGATTGAAAATATTTTTATTCACCTTCTAATTGGTATTTTGAAAATGTTTTTTGAAATCGTACCGTTAATTTGGCTTGCGATAACGTTTGCTAATGGTCCAATAAATGCAGCAAACGATTATGTAAACTGGAGCAACATGAAAGTTATAGAAAACCGAGCACTGCTTGGTAATATCTTCAAAACAATAAATGGAATACGATCACGTATTGAATGTCAGAGTTTCTGTACTCAAACCAACGGATGCAAGTCCTACAATTACGCCAGCAGCGTAAAGGTTTGCGAACTCAACAATGTCACCAAGGAAGAGACACATGATGTTAACTTTCAAGAAATTCACAATTACATATATGCAAGCCTAAACTATGATAATACGTGCACGGTAATTTGTTTTGTTTTCACTTATCTTCAGTTTAGGCGTAGGCATGACAGCTTATATTAAATTTGTACCGGTATGTTAATGTTGCCCTTTGAATATAATTTGTATAGTTTACCTGACGAACTGTACACTGTGTACACATCAGACTGATAAGAATTTAATTTTTATATTTGTACATTTGAATTGTGAAATACTGTATATGAAACTGTATTTTTCTAAATTTGTTTTTTCCACTGAATTTTAATTGCCTTTTTATGTTTTTGTTTATAATTGTTTGTCTGTTTTTTTGAGGTTCACGTGAGAACCTTTTAGATAGTAATCCTCAGGCTTTTGTATTTGTCTTCTGATTTTTTTTTTTTTTTGTATTTTGTACTGATTTTGCCTGAAAATAAATAATATAAAATAATGAAAAATAAAATCTCCATAATGTATCTGATAACGCTGATATTCTCTCTTTCATCTAAAATTTAGAACCGAGACTGTTGTTTGGAAACCGCAACAAGCAAATCAAAGAAGAAGTATTGTTATCGTAAGTTTTGACGTCCACATAGTTACGAAACAATGGATTAGACTCTACTCTTAGTAAAACTTCTCTACTGGTTATCAGTTCCCATCCCTCTCAGTGGTGGATTTAGAGGGAGCTGTAAATGTTATAGGGGGATTCTCCCTTTGCATCCCTGTAAGAGGTTCTACCCTGATCCTCTCATTTAGTCTGCACATTCACACCCCCCCCCCCTCTTTCTTACCGGACTAGATCCACCCCAAACCAAAAAAAAAAAAAAACCAGGAGTAATTGGTTGTGACCACACAAAGGATAACCCACTAAGACTTGCTTGTTTCAGTGGGTGCCTTTGGTGGTGAATTGGGCAGAGCATGGGAAACAATCCTCTTTTCCGATAAGGTTTCTGCGTTTTTTTTTTATAACAACCAGAGACAAATACAGGCCCGTAACCGGGGGGGGGGGTTCGGACGAACCCCGCCGTTTGCTAGCTGGCTCCGCTTGGATGGCAAAAAAAAAATCTCGAAAGAAGATTGCTTAAACATAAAACAACAAAAAAAAAACAATCCTGTTCAAATAATCTTTACAGTAGCAACTTTTAATACAAGTTTCAAGATGGAACTCTTATTTATGTGGTCAGCGCAATTGGTTGGTCGTTAACATGCAACTTTTAATACAAGTTTCAAGATGGAACTCTTATTTATGTGGTCAGCGCAATTGGTTGGTCGTTAACATGTTCAAAAGGCTCCACTTTTTCCAAATTTGAATCCCCACCCAAAAAAAAAATCCTAGTTACGGGCCTGAAATATCTGAAGAATCTTAAGGGTTCAGAGTACACACAATGGCTACCACCAGTTTAGCCAATTGTGAGTAAGGCTACCGTGCTCCCACACGCGTCTCAAATCAAAAATCAAATTCTGAAACTTCAAAATTTTAAATTATGATACACATTTTTTTGGTTGTATTATAAATTAGAAACAAGCCCGGCAATATTAAAGGAGGAGTTTACGAATATGACTGCTGGAATCGCCTCGTGGTCACTTCCTCCAGACGAAATTGCAGATTATTTTAACGTGAGTTGCTCAGAAGGATCGGTTGCTCTTCTAGATGTGAATGGCACTCACGGAACAGCCATGTGCCATGACCTTGTGCCAGGCTCAACAGTCAACATTACTGTTATTTCTGTAACGGATTCTGAGTCTGGAATGCCTGCTAGTCTCAACATACAGTTAGGTAGGATGGTTATGTAGAACCTTCTTTATTTAAAATGTAACAGCATGGTAACTCATGATGATGAATGAGGTTCATTCCAATCTTCATGCTCCAATCCTTAAATTATAATGAACAACAGTGTAATCGCTATATTTAGATATTCTTGGTCTTACTGTTAAATTTTTATGAATTTATAATACTATTTTATTTTATTAAAATTGCTTCTTCTGCTATTTAGTATTTTAATATTTCAGCCCTATCTCTCAACTTTCAATTTATTGAGATTTTGAGCGGTGTCATTAGTTTTGTGCCGCCGGTGAATTTCCCCCCACCCCGTGCCTCTCAATACGTAACATTCATAGTAAAGTAGTTAAACGGGAAAAAGGCCGTGTGGCCGAACAAATTTCGCCCCGGCCATATGACCCTGGAAAAGGGACCTATTGTGAGGGGAAGGGCAAAATCCATGTTAGACTGACCCTCACATTGTACATTACTTCATATCCAGTAGTTTTGTGATTCATAATTCATCATGTTATATTGTATCATTACTAGAACCTGACGTGGTGAAGTTCACAAATCAGACATCTTTATTGGCTTCGATATCTGTCGAATGGGAAATGAGATCTGGCTTTGCTTCAGAATTCGTCGTTAATTGTTCAAGTGGTGTTCCAGCTTCATCTGTCGTAGACTCAGCTGATGATGGTTCTGGTAGAATAGAATGCTTTTGTATAAAACTAGGAGTACAAGTAGAAGTAATGGTGGTTGCTGTCGCCAACTCCAAGCAGAGTTTACCAGCATCAAGAATCGTTTCAACAGGTACGGTGGTGGATTACGCCGAAAGCCAATTAGTTTTAAAAAAATATATTTGTTTTAAAACGGCATCTAGACTTGAAATTAATGATAACGCGTTATGAAACTTATGGGTTATTATAGATGTTTGTTCAGTACCAATAAATACGATTTAAGCGGGTCGATCAGAATCAGATTCTGATTCTGATGAAATCGTACTTATTGGTGTTGCACAAACATCTCTAATAACATATTCATAAGGTTCATAATGCGCTATCATTAATTTCATGTCGAGTGACCGAGTGGTTAAGGCAGGGCTGACATTACCTATAGTGAAAACGTCGTCACTGAACAGTATAAGTTACTCGCTCTAGGCTCTTGTGATGGAACAAGTGTTGTGAATAAGGACTATAAACCATAGGCCGAGTGTACACAAACTCTACCGTGTGCAACTCATTATTACTTTGGAGAAGAGCAGGACTGCATTCGACATGTTGGGATCCGCAGAGAAGATGCGTTATATACATCGACAACAACACATTGCATTTTTAGTATCAATGTAGACATATACTTATTACAATTTCATATGATATGGTGTTTTACAGATGATCCTGTTAATATAACACTGATCGAAGATGTTACAACGAATACATCAGCCATAGTTGCCAAGATGATGTCAAATGCGCCACTAAATGTTGTGTATACAGTGCTTTGTTCAGCTGGGGATCCGTTTCCTACAATGTTTGAGGCTGCTAAAACGATGAACGTATATTGTATTGGTGTAGAAGCTGGACAACGTGCTAATTTGAGTGTTGAAGCATTTTATAATAACTGCACTGTAGGATCTACGTTTATATCTATTGCAACAGGTATGTACTTTGCTTTTGAGCCGGTGTCATAATAATTTCGGACCGCTGGTAAATTCGCCCTGCACTCTGTACGAAATGGGACGCTCACGGGAGAGTCAATTCTTTAAACGGCTAAAATGGCCTAGCAAATGTCGCCCCGGCCACAAATAATCGTGAATAAGGGACAAAGTTGTTGGGGGCGAAATTTATGTGACACCTGCCCTCATACCGTACATTACTTTCTTAGTAGTTTTGTGATTTATAGTGCATCACGTTTGTTTCATTACTAGAACCTGATGTGGTGATGTTCACAAATCAGATATCTTCAGCGGTTTTGATATATGTGGAATGGGAAATGAGATCTGGTTTTGCTTCAGAATTTGTCGTTAATTGTTCAAGTGGTGTTCCAGCTTCATCAGTCGTAGACGCAGTTGATGGTTCTAATAGTATGGAATGCTCTTGTATAAAACCAGAACTACAAGTAGTAGAGGTAACAGTGATTGCTGTCGCGAACTCCAAGCAGAGTTTACCAACATCAAAATTCGTTTCAACAGGTACAGAGGAGATATGCCGAAAGTCAATTAGTTAAAAAAATAAATTAGTTTCTTATCCCTGATCGCTTCCTATTTTGGTTTCGTCACGACTTTACTAGCAAACATTGCAGTCCTTATTTGAGTTATTTTTCATGTTTTTAATCTTTTTCTTAATGTCTGTGCTGTTTGTGTCTTTGTTTATAATTAATCCTTCAATGTTTTTATATTACTTTCCTTTGATATTTTTATATTATTGTTCTGTATTATTGTAAGTATCATTTAATTCAGTCCTCGACTGCGATTTTGATATTGAATAAAGAAAGAAAGAAATAAAGAGTTAGAATAGAATATTCTGAATTACTAAGTCTAAAACTCTAAATGTTCCTATTCCTCTAATTTGGTCTAAGTGCTACAAGCATTTACAAGATTTGATTGAAAAAGCTAATTGCCGAGAAAATGAATTTCCTCATTTAGCTTTGGTTTTTTTAATTTTGAACGAGAAACTATTTTTTACTTGCCCTAACTTGTAAATGTAATTGGCAATTATAACGTTTTGAATACGGCCAATTAGAGCCTGTAGATGTTATTTTAAATACACGTTGCATCAACCAATCAAAGAGAGAGCGCTGAGAGAAGCCCAGTTGAATGGAACAATCAATTTTCCAACTCATGAATATATTCTTCCCATTGCACTCATTAACATTCATTAGTTGTATAATATCTGGCGTAGATTACCGTCTGAGACCACCTGTATAATTTTGAAAATACACCATCATCCAATCATGATAAATCGATGATAGTGCTTATATTTTCAACTGAGATTAAATGTTAACTTCCGGCCCAAAATAAACGATCAGTGTTATGAGAGTCCTAGTAACATATTTTATTATTATTATTATTATTATCATTATCACCATCATCATTATTAGATGTGTCTGTAAATTTCTAATATAAATCTAATGATACGGTTATTATCTACTGTATTGTATACCAATTAATATCAGCCACCGTGTTCAAAACCAGCCGTTTGTCGCAATTTCTAATTTCGCGCAAGCACCTAAAACGTTTGAGAATCAGAATTTTGAAATTTTCAGGTTTTTGCATTTTATAAAAAAAAAATGATATATTGCAAACTATCAATCACTAAATCTAACTGAAAAGTATTAAAGTTATTTTTTTAAATGCAAATCTTAATAATAAACTATTGATTTTGGAGTCTGTGGAAGATGTTTTCTGAAAACCTACATCAATAAATTAATTTTTCATAACTTTGCTAATACTCAACCAATTTACATACAATAAACGCTGTTTTAAAGAAGAATTAATAGATAATTTCTAGATGGAAGAAAATGATAGTCTTGTGAATTAAGGTATTATCAATATAGATGCAGGCTTACTATGACTTAATGCTACATGGTGTCTTACAGATGAACATGTTAATATTTCACTGATCGAAGATGTTGCAACGAATACGTCAACCATAGTTGCCAATATGACGTCAAATGCGCCATCAAATGTTGTGTATGCAGTTTATTGTTCAGCTGGTGAACCGTTTCCTGTGATGATTGAGGATACTAACACGGCGACCGTACGTTGTATTGGTGTAGAAGCTGGACAAAGTGCTAATTTGAGTGTTGAAGCATTGTATGGTAACTGTTCTGTAGGATCTGCGTTGATATCTATTGCAACCGGTATGTTCAATAATTCTTAATAGTGCTTTTGAGCCGGTGTCACAGTATTTTGGGCGAGCCAGTGAATTCGTCCTCAGCTCTGTACGTAACGTCAAAGAGTATAAATAGAACAAGAGAGCCAACAACGCTCATTGGGAGCGTAAAAAAACGATACGCTCTACGCAGCTAGTGTAGGACGCCAACTAACGCTTGTATATGTTTTATTACCCAGTACTGCACCGCGCACTGTAGGTTTGTCTGTTTATCTGTTCTCCACAAGATACTGAGCTTTTGTTTTCTGCTTACTGAGTTTATAGCGGGCGTACTTCTACCGCGCTGCGCGCAGCGCTGCACTGGGTAATAAAAAGAATATACAACCGTTAGTTGGCGTCCTACACAGGCATGACGTTTTTACGAACGGGACTTTGCTCTCTTGTTCTATTTATACTCTTTGGTAACGTCAGTAAATTCGACGGTCTCCAGAGACCCATTCCTTTAATGGCGATATCCTAGCAAATATCAGCCCAGCCAAATCACCCTGGATAAGGGGCCGAATCCTTTACCCCGGCCAAATCACCATGGATAAGGGACCGAATTCTTGGGGAGATTTTCATGTGACACCGGCCCTCACATCGTACATTCATAACCAGTAGTTTTGTAATTCATAGTGCATCATGTTATATCGTATCATTACTAGAACCTGACGTGGTGAAGTTCACAAATCAGACATCTTTATTGACTTCGATATTTGTCGAATGGGAATTGAGATCTGGCTTTGCTTCAGAATTCGTCGTTGATTGTTCAAGTGGTGTTCCAGCTTCATCTGTCGCATACTCCGCTGATGATGGTTCTGGTAGAATAGAATGCTTTTGTATAAAACCAGGAGGACAAGTAGAAGTAACGGTGGTTGCTGTCGCCAACTCCAAGCGGAGTTTACCAGCATCAAGAATCGTTTCTACAGGTACGGCGGGGGATAACGCAGAAAGCCAATTATTTAAAAAATATATTTGTTTCCAACAGGCATCTAGACCTGAAATTAATGATAACGCGTTATGAAACTTATGATTTATTAGAGATGTTTGTACAGTACCAATAAGTACGATTTAAGCGGGTCGATCAGAATCGTATCGTATTTATCAGAATCTGATTCTGATCGAAATCGTATTTATTGGTGTTGCACAAAAATCTCTAATAACATATTCATAAGGTTCATAATGCGTTATCATTAATTTCAAGTCAAGTGACCGGGTGGTTAAGGCAGGGCTGCCATTACCTATGATTTACGATTTAAGTGGGTCAATCAGAATCTGATTCTGATCGAAGTCGTATGCACAAACATCTCTAATAACATATTCATAAGTTTCATAATGCGTTATCATGAATTTCAAGTCAAGTGACCGAGTGGTTAAGGCAAGGATGCCATTACCTATAGTGAAAACGTCGTCACTGAACAGTATAAGTTACTCGCTCTAGGCTCTTGTGATGGAACAAGTGTTGTGAATAAGGACTATAAACCATAGACCTAGTGTACACAAACTCTACAGTGTGCAACCCAGTATTACTTTGGAGAAGAGCAGGACTGCATTTGACATGATCCGCAGAGAAGATGCGTTATATGCAGCGACAACGACACACTGCATTTTTAGTATCAATGCAGACATGTGCATATTACAATTTCATATGATTGGTGTATTACAGATGATCCTGTTAATATAACACTGATCGAAGATGTTACAACGAATACATCAGCCATAGTTGCCAAGATGATGTCAAATGCGCCACCAAATATTGTGTATACAGCGCTTTGTTCAGCTGGGGATCCGTTTCCTACAATGTTTGAGGCTGCTGAAACGATGAACGTATATTGTATTGGTGTAGAAGCTGGACAACGTGCTAATTTGAGTGTTGAAGCATTTTATAATAACTGCACTGTAAGATCTACGTTTATATCTATTGCAACAGGTATGTACTTTGCTTTTGAGCCGGTGTCATAATAATTTCGGCCGAGTGGTAACTTCGCCCTGCCCTCTGTACGAAATGGGACGCTCTCCGGGAGAGCCAATTCTTTAAACGGCTAAAATGGCCTAACAAATGTCGCCCCGGCCACAAATAATCGTGAATAAGGGACAGAATTATTGGGGCGAAATTTATGTGACACCGGCCCTCATACCGTACATTACTTTCTTAGTAGTTTTGTAAATTATAGTGCATCACGTTTATATCATTACTAGAACCTGATGTGGTGATGTTCACGAATCAGACATCTTCAGTGGCTTCGATATATGTGGAATGGGAAATGAGATCTGGTTTTGCTTCAGAATTTGTCGTTAATTGTTCTAGTGGTGTTCCAGCTTTATCAGTCGTAGACGCAGTTGATGGTTCTGGTAGTATGGAATGCTCTTGTATAAAACCAGAACTACAAGTAGTAGAGGTAACAGTGATTGCTGTCGCGAACTCCAAGCAGAGTTTACCAACATCAGAAATCGTTTCAACAGGTACAGAGGGAGATATGCCGAAAGCCAATTAGTTAAAAAAGAAATTAGTTTTTAACCCCGATCGCTTCCTCTTTTGGTTCCGTCACGACGTTACTAGCAAACATTGCAGTCCTTATTTGCGTTAGAATAGAATATTCTGAATTACTAATAGTCTAAAACTCTAAATGTTCCTATTCCTCTATTTTGGTCTACGTCGATGCTTGCTACAAGCTTTTACAAGATTTGATTGAAAAAGCTAATTGCCGAGAAAATGAATTTCCTCATTTAGCTTTGGGTTTAAAAATTTTGAACGAGAAAATATTGTAGATGTTATTTGAAATACACGTTGCATCAACCAATCGAAAATAGAGCGCTGAGAGAAGCCCGGTTGAATGGAACAGTCAATTTTCCAACTCATGAATATATTCTTCCCATTGCACTCCTTAACATTCATTATTTGTATAATATCTGGCGTAGATTACGGTCTGAGACTGCCTGTATAATTTTGAAAATAAACCATCATCCAATCAATGATAAATCGATGATAGTGCTTATAGTTTCAACTGAGATTAAATGGTAATTTCGGGCCCAAAATAAACGAGCAGTGTTATGAGACTCCTATTAACATTTTTTATGATTATTGTTATCATCATCATCATTATTAGATCTGTTTGTAAATTTCTAATATAATCTAATGATACGGTTATAATCTACAGAATTGTATACAAATTAATATTAGGCACCGTGTGCAAAACCGCCGTTTGTCGCAATTTCTAATTTCGCGCAAGCACCTAAAACGTTTGAGAATCAGAATTTTGAAATTTTCAGGTTTTTGCATTTTATTAAAAAATGATATATTGCAAACTATCAATCACTAAATCTAACTGAAAAGTATTAAAGTTATTTTTTAAAATAAAAATCTTAATAAGAAACTATTGATTTTGGAGTCTGTGGAAGATGTTTTCTGAAAACCTACATCAATAAATTAAATATTTGATTTGATTTGATTTATTTAGAAATTCTCACAACTAAACAGAGTACAAAATTAAACGAATTAAACAACAATAAAAGAATTTCAGGATAACCCTTTAAGCATTTCTTCTTGTTTCCGAAGGGGTCCCGTTACAATAATAATGAATGCAACAATGACATATAACAAAAAGAGGACCATGGCTTAAAATAAGCAACAATGCAAACAAATACCAAACTGAAAAATTCTTTACTAATACTCAACCAATTTACATACAATAAACGCTGCTTTAAATAAGAATTAATAGAGAATCTCTAGATGGAAGAAAATGATAGTCTTGTGAATTAAGGTATTATCGATATAGATGCATGCTTACTATGACTTAATGCTACATGGTGTCTTACAGATGAACATGTTAATATTTCACTGATCGAAGATGTTGCAACGAATACGTCAACCATAGTTGCCAATATGACGTCAAATGCGCCATCAAATGTTGTGTATGCAGTTTATTGTTCAGCTGGTGAACCGTTTCCTGTGATGATTGAGGATACTAACACGGCGACCGTACGTTGTATTGGTGTAGAAGCTGGACAAAGTGCTAATTTGAGTGTTGAAGCATTGTATGGTAACTGTTCTGTAGGATCTGCGTTGATATCTATTTCAACCGGTATGTTCAGTAATTCTTAATAGTTCTTTTGAGCCGGTGTCACAGTACTTTGGGCCAGCCAGTGAATTCGTCCTCAGCTCTGTACGTAACGTTAGTAAATTCGACGGTCTCCAGGATACCCAATCCTTTATACGGCGAAAATGGCGATATCCCAGCAAATATCACCCCAGCCAAATTACCCTGGATAAGGGGCCGAATCCCTTACCCCAGGCCAAATCACCATGGATAAGGGACCGAATACTTGGGGAGATTTTTATGTGACACCGGCCCTCACATCGTACATTCATAACCAGTAGTTTTGTAATTCATAGTGCATTACGTTATATCGTATCATTACTAGAACACAACGTGAAGTTCACAAATCAGACATCTTTATTGACTTCGATATTTGTCGAATGGGAAATGAGATCTGGCTTTGCTTCAGAATTCGTCGTTAATTGTTCAAGTGGTGTTCCAGCTTCATCTGTCGTATACTCCGCTGATGATGGTTCTGGTAGAATAGAATGCTTTTGTATAAAACCAGGAGTACAAGTAGAAGTAACGGTGATTGCTGTCGCCAACTCCAAGCGGAGTTTACCAACATCAAGGATCGTTTCAACAGGTACGGTGGGGGATTACGCCGAAAGCCAATTATTTAAAATTATATATGTTTTAAACAGGCATCTAGACTTGAAATTAATGACACCGCATTATGAAACTTATGAGTTATTAGTGATGTTTTTTCAGTACCAATAAATACGATTTAAGTGGGTCAATCAGAATCTGATTCTGATCGAAGTCGTATGCACAAACATCTCTAATAACATATTCATAAGGTTCATAATGCGTTATCATTAATTTCAAGTCGAGTGACCGTAGTTAAGGCAAGGATGCCATTACATAGTGAAAACGTCGTCACTGAACAGTATAAGTTACTCGCTCTCTCTTGTGATGGAACAAGTGTTTTGAATATGGACTATAAACCATAGGCCTGTGTACACAAACTCTACCGTGTGCAACCCAGTATTACTTTGGAGAAGAGCAGGACTGCATTTGACATGTTGGGATCAGCAGAGAAGATGCGTTATATACATCGACAACGACACATTGCATTTTTAGTATCAATGTAGACATATACTTATTAAATTTCATATGATATGATGTATTACAGATGATCCTGTTAATATAACACTGATCGAAGATGTCACAACGAATACATCAGTCATAGTTGCCAATATGACGTCAAATGCGCCATCAAATGTTGTGTATGCAGTTTATTGTTCAGCTGGTGAACCGTTTCCTGTGATGATTGAGGATACTAACACGGCGACCGTACGTTGTATTGGTGTAGAAGCTGGACAAAGTGCTAATTTGAGTGTTGAAGCATTGTATGGTAACTGTTCTGTCGGATCTGCATGGATATCTATTTCAACCGGTATGTATATATTGTGGATAATACAGCCATGACATATTCTAAAATCACTACATACAATATTACAATATTGTAATGTCAGTGTCTTATCTTAGTAAGATTGATACACAAGTAGAATTACATACAGCGCGTACCACACACACATAATATTACTTTTTTATTTTTTTTATATTTTATTCATTTCGTCATATAATATACAAAAAAGTAGTATGGTTTGGTGTGCCGAGAAGTAGGGGAGGGACCAATTTTGATTACCAAAGCATGGAATTTGTCACAATATATATTTATTGTGTGTAAATACTGATATTTTGGCAACGGAAAATCGTATAACTGCACTGTAGGATCTACGTTTATATCTATTGCAACAGGTATGTACTTTGCTTTTGAGCCGGTGTCGTAATAATTTCGGCCCGCGGGTAAATTCGCCCTGAACTCTAATGTCTATATGAAATTTCTCCGGAGACCCAATTCTTTAAACGGCTAAAAGGGCCCAGCAAATGTCGCCCCGGCCACAAATAACCGTGAATAGGGACATAATTCTTGGGGGCGAAATTTATGTGACACCGGCCCTCATACCATACATTACCTTCTGAGTATTTGTGGTTTACAGTGCATCACGTTTGTTTCATTACTAGAACCTGATGTGGTGATGTTCACAAATCAGACATCTTCAGTGGCTTCGATATATGTGGAATGGGAAATGAGATCTGGTTTTGCTTCAGAATTCGTCGTTAATTGTTCAAGTGGTGTTCCAGCTTCATCAGTCGTAGACGCAGTAAATGGTTCTGGTAGTATGGAATGCTCTTGTATAAAACCAGGACTACAAGTAGTAGAGGTAACAGTGATTGCTGTCGCGAACTCCAAGCAGAGTTTACCAACATCAGAAATCGTTTCAACAGGTACAGAGGGGATATGCCGAAAGCCAATTAGTTAAAAAAATAAATTAGTTTCGTATCTCCGATCGCTTCCTCTTGGTTCCGTCACGACTTTGCTAGCAAATATTGTAGTCCTTATTTGTGTTAGAATAGAATATTCTGAATTACTAATAGTATAAAACTCTAAATGTTCCTATTCCTCTATTTGGTCTGTATCGATGCTTGCTACAAGCATTTACAAGATTTGATTGAAAAAGCTAATTGCCGAGAAAATGAATTTCCTCATTTAGCTTTGGTTTTAAAAAATTTTAACGAGAAACTATTTTTTACTTGCCCTAACTTGTAAATGTAATTGGCAATTATAAAGTTTTGAATACTGCCAATTAGAGCCTGTAGATGTTATTTTAAGTACACATGGCATCAACCAATCAAATATAGAGGGCTGAGAGAAGCCCTGTTGAATGGAACAGTCGATTTTCCAACTCATTAATATATTTTTGCCATGGCACTCATTAACATTCATTATTTGTATAATATCTGGCGTAGATGGTTTATTTTCAAAATTATACAGGCGGTCTGAGACCGCCTGTATAATTTTGAAAATACACCATCATCTAATCAATGATAAATCGATGATAGTGCTTATATTTTCAACTGAGATTAAATGTTATTCCGGCCCAAAATAAACGATCAGTGTTATGAGACTCCTATTAACATATTTTATTATTATTATTATTATTATTATTATTATTATTATTATTATTATTATTATTATTATCATCATCATCATCATCATTAGATGTGTTTGTAAATTTCTAATATAAATCTAATGATACGGTTATAATCTACTATATTGTATACCAATTAATATCAGCCACCATGTGCAAAACCTGCCGTTTGTCGCAATTTCTAATTTCGCGCAAGCACCTAAAACGTTTGAGAATCAGAATTTTGAAATTTTCAGGTTTTTGCATTTTATTTAAAAAAATATTGCAAACTATCAATCACTAAATCTAACTGAAAAGTATTAAAGTTATTTTTAAAATACAAATCTTAAAAAACTATTGATTTTGGAGTCTGTGGAAGATGTTATCTGAAAACCTACATTAATAAATTAAATACAGTATTTATAACTTTGCTAATACTCAACCAATTTCCATACAATAAACACTGTTTTGAAGAAGAATTAATAGTGAATCTCTAGATGGAAGAAAATGATGGTCTTGTGAATTAAGCTTACTATGACTTAATGCTACATGGTGTCTTACAGATGAACATGTTAATATTTCACTGATCGAAGATGTTGCAACGAACACGTCAACCATAGTTGCCATTATGACGTCAAATGCGCCATCAAATGTTGTGTATGCAGTTTATTGTTCATCTGGTAAACCGTTTCCAGTTATGATTGAGGATACTACCACGGCGACCGTACGTTGTATTGGTGTAGAAGCTGGACAAAGTGCTAATTTGAGTGTTGAAGCATTGTATGGTAACTGTTCTGTCGGATCTGCATGGATATCTATTTCAACCGGTATGTATATATTGTGGATAATACAGCCATGACATATTCTAAAATCACTACATACAATATTACAATATTGTAATGTCAGTGTCTTATCTTAGTAAGATTGATACACAAGTAGAATTACATACAGCGCGTACCACACACACATAATATTACTTTTTTATTTTTTTTATATTTTATTCATTTCGTCATATAATATACAAAAAAGTAGTATGGTTTGGTGTGCCGAGAAGTAGGGGAGGGACCAATTTTGATTACCAAAGCATGGAATTTGTCACAATATATATTTATTGTGTGTAAATACTGATATTTTGGCAACGGAAAATCGTAGAGACCTCGTTCGGACCATACATCCTTACATCCTTCTATTAGCTCTAATGCAACATTTTTTTTCAAAAGTGACTTGAAATGGCATTTCTGAATTTGGATTTTAGATACCCTAGTAAAGAGGTCTAATTTTGGCTCAATTTGTTTAGAAAATGCATGTTTTGTATTCGCACTAATGCAACGTTTTGTCATTTCCAACCTTCAACCCTAGAACTACATTATAACTATTATTGGTGGATAAAATAATGTCAGTTGATTTCTTGAAATTATTTGAGAGATGTGTTGGGAGATTTATAGACGCACACAATAAGCATTTTTTCCTCCTGGTATTCCTAATTATGTAGTTGAATTTCCATATTTGCATCAATGGACAAAAGTAATGACTTCATATAATTCTTGTTATTGTTGCTATTAAAATCCCACCACCATGTCTAGAATAATCCTTCTAATGTTTTCTAGAAATATTTCAGCATTAGAAATAGTTGAATTAAACCATTTTCGGTGAGTTAGATAATGTCAATATTTTCAGTAATAAGCACTTGAATGAAGAGATTTAATCTAGAGTATACGTGATTTTAGGTTTTAAGTTTATAAGGGAATTTCTGTTATCAGATTGGCAGGGACCATTTTTGACCGTCTATAACATGAGTTTGATTAATAATGAGATTTACAGTAAGCTAAGGGGCTAGGTTAAGTTCAGTTAAATAGAGATATGTAACAAAGAAAATCATAGCTCCGGCCATGCAAGATGTTAGTAGGCCTATCAATTAATCTTTATCATCTCCCAATATCAAAGCGTTTTACGCATAATCTCTCGCCATCTAATGCTGAAAGGTGAGATTTCAGTGACGGAGGATTAAATTGGACTCAATTCATAGGGTTTTTTCTGGCCTTTATTGTTTGTCTTTTCTTTTTACTGGTATTATATAAACATTTATTGGTCTTTATATGAATAACCTGTTGACCTAATAAAGTGCAATAGGTTCAATTACAGGATTTACTAAATATCTCTTTACAGGCCTTCTTGAGGCACTTTTTACTGAGGTATTCTTGGTGTTCTTACTAGGATACGTATTATGAAGACCAGAATATTCTTGCTAGGGTATACATCCTTGGTGCAGTTTTTCAATGAGTACATTTCTGTTGTGCGAAACTGGTATAAAGCGAAAATAGTGAAAAGTGGAAATATGTGTGATATAAACTAAGTTAAAACTTATAATGAATATAACGCAAATATGTAAGAAATATGAACAATTATAATGTAATATCTATCCGGTCATATTGATCGAACAATCGATTTATAACCGATCGAATGATTGACGAATCAGCCGATCGATTGGTCGACTGTGCGAACCTTAACGCTTAATCGCCACCCGATAGATTGATCACCGATTGATAAATAAAATTTTGATTGATCAAGCACTGATCGCTTATTGACCGATCGATTTATCGACCGTTTAATTATACGTCTGGTCGATTGATTGGTTATTTGATTAATTGAATAATAGTATAATATGCAGATAAACGTTAATATTTTTTTAATTAAATGTTTTGATGTACTAAATATTTGAAGCTCCTATATTGACATCATGTGATGCCTTCAAGATAGCCGGTTTTGATAATAATGGTACCTATCTGATTGATCCTGATGGTCCGAACACTGGATTGGATCCATTTTCGGTAGACTGTGACATGACGTCAGACATAATAAAAGGTAATTAATGCTTGTGTACATTAATAATACGACTTCAAATTTAATATAATAATTTTTTTTATTCACTATTTTTTATTTATAATTTCGAAAACTTTAGGAGCCGGCTTCCCCGCCCCCGCCCCCTTGAATCCGCCACTGGTATATTAATGTTTCATATTTTTTCGTTTAAATTCAAGGTTATACTACAATTCACCACGACAAAGAAGAAGACGGTAATGTAAACAATGCAGAGGACCCGTGTAGTTTTAAAGTTAATATTACTTACGATCTTGATTTAAGTCAGATATATGCTGTCAAAAATATTTCATCTTCATGCAGACAGTTTATTAAGGTGGGTGTTCCGGCTCGATCAGCAATACACGATACTAATATAAGATAAGTACCGGTACCGGTAAGTTGTATTCCTATTAATGAGATTAATGCTTAAGAATTATTATTTCTATAGTATGCATGCATTAACTCAAGGTTTCACTATGACAACACAACATATCATTATTGGATCTCAGTTGATGGCGAAATGATGGTAAACTGGGGAGATGTTCCAATGGGAACTAAGGGATGTGCCTGCGGTTTGACGAGTAAGTTGCATTCCACTATGCCTTTAAGTTTTTATAAGACTGAAATTCTCTTAACCGATTTAATAAATTTAAGAAAAAAATTATACCAATATTGATTTATGCTTAATAATTTTCAATAATTTATTTATTCGACCAGTGCAAAGTTACAATAAGTACAAGACTACATAGTACGGTCAGGGGCAGCTTAAGCAAAATATACTTGCCTACTGAGAATGTATACATTTACGGATAAAAAAATTCTCAAGAAGAGCGGGTATTACATTGATCTCTGTTTCAAGTGTATAGGCCTATGCCTCGAATACTAGTGCAGTGGTATTGGCATTTAATTGCCTCCAATCTTGATTCGAACTTCCAACGAAAGCCCCATGGCCCAGTTAAGGCAGCAAGGTCCCGAATCCCGAATGATTGTGGATTTTTTTTTTGCATTTACAAATTCCTCTTCTTTACCGTTTACTATTTATGTATACATCATGTATGTATAAAGCACTACCGCCAGATGATATAGCGATTATTTCTTCAACTTTAACATTATAGACCATATATACTGTCTCT